GACTGTGTCAGTCTGACTGACACACATTCACTTAAGGGGAATTGGGGATATGTATCAGCTGCTTGTGTGACAGTCGGACAGTGAATACTTTACAGCGGCCGCTGCTGTGAGTTAACGGGAGAATAAACTCCTGTGGAAGAGCAGCCAGCACTGCAGCAGTCGGTAAATGCCGCTGTAACACATTAATAAACAATGAACCAAGGCTCTGAGAAGTCGTTATTTAATTTAAAGTGGACCTATCATGCTATATTTGAATAATATATTGTAGGGCCATACCTATATAAGGTATATTTATTAGGGCTGTCAGTCGATTAAAATATTTAATCGCGATTAATCGCATGATTGTCCATAGTTAATCGCGATTAATCGCAAATTAATCGCACATTTTTTATCTGTTCTAAATGTACCTTAGAGGGATATTTTTCAAGTTTTTAATACTCTTATCAACATATGAGTGGACAAATATGCTTTATATGTTTGTTTATTATCATTTGAACAATGACAAATATTCTCATGAATATTAAACACAACAACCTGTGAACATTACAAATATTCGCCTCAATTCAACCTGGAACCTCTCTCATACAATAATACATACTGTGTGTGTGTGTGTGTGTGTGTGTGTGTGTGTGTGTGTGTGTGTGTGTGTGTGTGTGTGTGTGTGTGTGTGTGTGTGTGTGTGTGTGTGTGTGTGTGTGTGAGAATGTTGAGACACTGTGATGGATCGTTGGAGCTATGTGCAGCTCAAGGCATATATGCTCCAACGGGAGCTGCCTGGATGCTGCAATCATGTTGCGCGCACTATCCGTGCTGAGTGTGCTGACTTTTCGTACAATGTCCCACTGTCTGGCTACCTGCATAAAGTCAAGTGCTCGGCGCAGTTGTCGGCGAAATGTCATTGAAACAGCTCCTTATATCCGTTAGCGCAGCTAGCTAGCACCAGATGCTAACAACAACAACACGTAAGGTGTGCCTCGCTCGCGCAAGTCGCGCCACACATACACACATCCTCCCGGTCCTCCCGATGGCCAGTCCGGGCCTGCCAGTGAGCGTGGAAGTGTAGTCTGCCACAAGCGGGCGGCAGGCGGGGCTGTCAGCATCAGCTTGTAGATGGTATTTTAAACTCGATGCGCTCTGAAACTACGGCGGCCGAGGACAAAAAAATACACATGCGTTAATCGCGTTAAAATAATTAGTGGCGTTAATTTTTTTTTGCGTTAACGCGTTATTAACGCGTTAACTTGACAGCCCTAATATTTATACGTTTTATTTTTCAAAATACCAAACAGATCATGCATTTTAGCCATGCCTCATTTCGCTCTATTTTGCTCTCCTCCACCCTGTCTTTGCATGCGCTGCAGCTGACCACGCCCCCCTGCAAAGGAGGGGGCCGAGTTACGAGCGTCGTGTTACCATGGTGTTACCATGCCACGGCAACCTCTCATTCCCCTGATAGGTCAGCTCCTCCGTCCTGACGTCAGAGAAATGTTCAAATCTGGATCAGTCTGTATCAGATCCGTTGCAGCCCCGTTTTTAGAGATTTGGGTATGGAGGAAAAGAGAGAGGGTTGTATTTTCTGACACTTGGTGAGTTCCCTGGAACACCGGGGACACATATTCATGTATAAAAGACGTACAAAAGTGCATTTTGCATGATAGGTCCCCTTTAATCTGGCTTCGTATGATTAAAAGCAACACGATCATCGACCCAACGCAGTTCCCCATTGTTGTTGTAGTGAGCGCCGTTAGGGAGAAAATCAGCGACATAAACGGTGACGTCATGACGCAGCAGCGGCAGCACCAGTCGGGCTCTGGGCAGTGTGAACAAAACGGGGGCTGAAAAGAAGAACCGGTTCCGAACCAGAAAAGCTCTAGCACGGACCTAGAACGGGAACTGCGTTTGTGTGAAAGGGGCATCTGATGTGTTTGGCTCGAAATATCAAACAGATCGTGCATTGTAGCATCCCATAAACCCCTCTGTTTCAGCCCTGTTTCAAAAGTGCTGATTCTCTGTCTGTTACTTTAGATGAAAATAAGGGGCCACTCCCCACGCCCCTCTGCGAGATATTTGGTTAAAAAGAACACAATAGGAGCTTGCACACCGGAGTACTTTTCCCAGTATAGTTCCGATAGTTCTTGAAATTTTACGTTCACACCAAAAAAATCCGGAACTAGAACTAAAGAGTTCTGATGAACTAAGTACTGGGAACTAAGTACGGCAAAGTACTTGGTGTGAAAGCGCCTATTGGTACTCTATAGGAGGAGATTCAGGTGATAAGGTGGGCAGGTGTCACCTTGGTTGGTTATTAGCTAATGGTTACACAAGCCAAAACATCGTTATGACATCATAAAGTGACCAAAATCTGATCAGCTCATTTTCAGACAGGTTTTTATATAAATGGATCAGGACAAAAAGAGAGCGAATCTTTTTTCCTGAAACTTTCAGAATCTCTTTACACAGAGGGGACACATGTTTATGTATAAAAAACATGAAAAAGTGGATTTTGCATAATAGGTGACCTTTAACGTTATCATGGTGCTATGGAAGGAAGTGAGGGGATCACCAAAGTTGTTGGACATAAATGTATCTCCAAATTTCATGACAACCGAATACAAATTGAAACATTTCACTCAAAACCATACCTTTTGTTGGTACCACTTTACAATAAGACTACCCTTATTAAGGGTTTACAAATAGTTTGTAATTCATTTATTAATTAGGTTGTGAACACTTTATAAATCATTAATGAGCTTTTATAAGACATGAGATAAACAGGGCAACTGTGACCGGTTGCTTGCCAAATAGTGAGCCCACATTTATCTGTACTGCTAAGCCTTATATTGGCTACCTAGCTTACTTCGTCTTCTTCATCAGCCAGCATCCTTGTTATCTGTTGTTCACTGAGTTGATTCTCGCTAAGTAGCCAATATAAGGCTCAGTCATCTTGCCAAATAGTGAGCCTGTGTTGATGTATGAAAACTATGTTAGAACTGGTTTATAAATGGTTCTTAATGATTAATAAAGTGTTTACAACCTAATTATAAACCATTTATGAATCCTTTATAAGGGTAGTCTTATTGTAAAGTGGTACCCTTTTTTTTTTACCTCATAATGGCAGTAGAAGAAAATTAGGGTGGATCTAAAAAAAATTATAAACTATCCTCTGGGTAGCATGAATGTTCGTAAAAAATCCTGTCTGTCCCAGAATCAACTGTAATGAAGGCAAAATACTCTTTAGTTCTTCTATTTTTAAGGAGTCAGTAAGACACTATTGTTTATGCAGCATGGTACAAATAAAAGGAGCTCTACTAAACATGGTTCTGTGGGGAAAGCCAAGCGCCAACTCTTGTCAGACTACTTATGATTCCCAGGAAAGATTCAGTGCGGCGAGTGTTTACATGTGCGGCTGTCTACTGACTCACACCTCTCTGTCTAATACCCCATACCTCCAACACCTACACCCCACTCCAAACAAGTAACAAGTCACAGGAATGCTGAGCACCTTTGCTCCAATAATGAAAAACAATCAATCAATGCAAATACCTAAACAACAGCAACATACAGAGAGGAAAGATGTATTGTGGCGTACTCATTTGAAGCAGCTACATTTGAGAGCACTGAACAACCACAATATGGTCAATCATTATGACATTGTTAAAAGCATTATGACATTGTTAAAAGCATACTTCAAACCTTGCTTAGCAACTTGCTGCAATGCTTTCTATCAAAGTCTGTTTGGACAAGTGCACATATACAGATAGTTCACAGCAGTGCTACTGGAGCCTGTAACAGTTCAGACTATTCCTCCTCGATTACTCACAGAGAGCGGTTTACTTTTATGCTCCTCTACTCTGCCTCCATCCATATATGGATTTCAGATGCTGCGAGTATGAGTCTTACTCCTCTTTAAGGACAATTCCTTAGGACGAGGAGAGGAGGGATGAGAAGAGAGGAGACGAAAGGAGAGGAGAGGGGACAGGTTGAGAAAAAAAGATAGAGAGGATAATAAAAGGACAGAAAAAGGAAAGGAGAGGACAGGAGAGCCCAGGTGGAAATGGAGACAAAGGATAAAAGGGAGTAGATGAAATTAAATAACACAACAAAAAACAAGAGGAGAGGAGACAGGCAGAATGAAAAGGAGAGGAATAACAGGGTATTTTCTGACAAGGCGGACCAGAGTGTCCAGTCTCTCTGGTTTGGATAGCAGCCGCTTGGCTACACCCAAATTAGGGTACTTTTCAATGGACACAGTAAAAAATACCACTCTTTTTTACTGCAAGGGGGGGGTCTCAAATTTCCCTAACACATATTCAAACACCCATAAGTTATTGTTAGATCTGATTATTTCTCTTTAATGCAACACGATTTAATGTGCAACCTGTCAGGTGGGTGTTAAACCAGTAGGACAGCTGTTCATCAAGGTTCCTCTGTGTCAAAGTGAGGAAGCAGGTGTAGCAGTGTGTAGGTGAGGAGCAGGATCTGTGAGAATCCTTCTGCTGGACACACTCCTTCTCTCAGCAGCAGCAGCAGCCAGTTGAATCCTTGGTCTTTATTTAGACCTGGACATTTAGGCCTGGAGACATGAACTCCTGACCCACCTTTTAATGAACACAGATCTATGTCAGGTGAAACTTTGTAGCTTCATAAAAACACAACACTCTCCACCAGTTATCTTCAACATCATGCTGCACCACCTGATCTCACCTCCAGTGTAGGTCTATCTTGCATGTGGAGCTGAGCTTCAAAGCACCCTCCAAACACGGATCAGGTTTACAACCGTGTCCTGTTGTAGCCTCCTAACACCTCTTGGAATCACAGTCTTTTCCCATCATTTTTGGGGCCACTGACATGCATGACGTAATTTGGGAAGCGCTTTCACTTGCAGTGTGTGTGTTTAATGTGTATGCGTGCGTGTGCGTGCAGGGAAAGCGTCAGTGCGCACCAACCCGCTTGGCAGCTGTATTCCTTGACTGTGATTGGGCGAAGGGCGGTGATTCCTTCTGTCACGATTTGGGTCGCTCCCACAGGAGGACACCGACCGTCTGAGTCCAGCCTTATCCGAGGTGCTCACCAGAGGAGACGGTGCACCCTGGGAGGAGAGACGCTGGACTGAGAACTCGGGATTTGTCCTCCTGTCGGTGTCGGTGAGGAGAGGAGAGGGAAGGAGAGGGAAGGAGAGGAGAGGAGAGAGGGGGATCTTCAGTGCTGGAACCACCAGCCGCCTTTCTTCTGTCGGGGCTGCGGTAAAAGTCGTTCACGATGCCGGTGTTTCACACCAAGACCATTGAGAGTATCCTGGAGCCGGTGGCCCAGCAGATCTCCCACCTGGTCATCATGCACGAGGAGGGGGAGGTGGACGGTAAAGCCATCCCGGATCTGACGGTGCCGGTGGCCGCGGTGCAGGCGGCGGTCAGCAACCTTGTACGGGTGAGTCCCGAGCTGGAACCAGGGCGTCAATTCACTGAAAGCTTCAGTCCAAAAAGTGTCTGCATCCAGTGGCATTTATAATCCAAAGTTCAAAATCTACATGTGTGGACACCAACTGTGACTTAGGCTTTTATTTAATTAATTATAAATGAGCCCTATAGGTCATCAAACTACCTTGCACTGCACATGGATCAGTGCGTTTATATATGGCTTTCACAGATTTATTGCAATCCCATCTTGATCTTTGCTCGCCATCAAAGTGATATAAAACTACCACACACACAGCCAGCTGACGCTCGTGCGTGTTTCACGAGCTCCTGCAGTAGTTTTTGTGTGCGTGTCTGACAGAGACACACACAATAATGTCAAACTCTGTCCATATTGGTAATCAGATGAGCTCAATGAAGTTTGTGGGGCGGAAGGAACGAGTTCTGATTCAATTAACAGGATGCTGTTTCTCTCTCTCTCTCTCTCTCTCTCTCTTTCACCCACACACACACACACACACACACACACACACACACACACACACACACACACACACACACACACACACACACACACACACACACACTGTGTAATCAGAAGAGAGGGAAATGTCACTTGTGCCATGGACTGAGTTAGATTATAGCAGAATTTGCAGTTATAGAACAATACCATTAAGAACCTCAGCCCATTGTTAAACTCATAAATAATATATATTCTCTGGGGTCATTTATCAGACTCCCATCCCCCTTTCATATTAACTCCTTCACTCCCGGTTCTCTCCCAACCCAACCTTGACCCCTCTGCTTTACCCATTTCACCTTCTCTGTCTGGTTTATTTTCGGTCTTCTTGAATCTAATATGTAATTTTGTAAAGAAAGAGTCAAGCTTAGGTCAGAGGATGTCTCTTCGGCATGCACTGACTGGAAAAATCAATACGGGCCACATCATTAATGCCGATCCGGGTCATTGTTATTGATGCAGGGGCAACCAGGCCTCAATCACTTAGAAGAAATCGGCCACATACAGAAGGAAACATTCTCCCGTTTATGCCTCAATTATCAGGAAAAGAAGCTGGTTTCATGTCATTCTGATTTTAAATGTACCTTACGTAGGAGACCATAGTTGATGGAGCAGACTTATCAGGAAAACTGTTAATGCAGGTTGTGTGTCAGACTAAAGACTATACACTCCTTTTTTGAAGCTTTATACTTCTGTGTTGAGCATCAGGACGGATGTATCTTACTCTCATCTAAATGTAAGTGTTTATTGTTCTGAATCACCTTAGTGTGGCCCCTCTCGTACTGCCCCCCTCTGTTGGCTACTTTTTGGGGAAAAAGTTTGAAATCGTATTAACAGGGGAAACATGATTTCTTGTTGGGAAAGGACTAAACCGCTCGCTGACTTGTTAAAAAATATTTAGTTTTAGCTGTTGTATATATAATATTCAGCCAGTGAAAGTGTACTTTAGAGGGTTTTTGCAGTGAGAAAACATTTTGATTATGCAAATTCATATTGGGTCGCATTTATCACGGCAATAAAGTACATTTCACATTGTTTGCTTTGTTAAATTGCACAGGGAATAAGGCCTCTTTTATTGTATAGCTGTCTGGACAAAGTTTAGAATGCTTCTGCTTCCCTTTGCAAGGACACTCAAGATCAAGTTGATAAATATCTCATTAACTGATAATGAAAAGGGCTATTGGGTTTGGTTTAGAAAATCTCCCTTTTACCGATACCATCCGGTCCTTGACATCCATTTGCTGCCGGGCACACCTCTCCATCTCTCTCTTTCCATCTCCTTTCCATTCAGCTGATCCTTTTGGACAGTGAGCAGAAGGAGGCTAAAAGCACCCTAAGGCACTTCGGCGGGTCTCATATGATGAAGATGCAAGGCTACAGGGAGAGAAAAGGGTTGAGGACACAGTGACACTCAATTGTGTCAGACAGAGGAGAATATTGAGGGATACCAGTATTGCCACAATAGAGGAAAAGTAAAATGCTTTAAAGTAAAAAATGCTGATAACTCTCCTCAGATTTCTTATTTTTCTTGCAAATACAGTTGCCATTAACACTCTAGATAAGAGCACAGCTAAACGCCGATACAGAGGAGATCATAAGTAGTTGTGAAGTCCACTGATAAAGTAGTGAGAGTTACAAAGTGGGTGACAAGAAAGTGTTGAAAGGGAGCACAAAAGGTGCTTGAGATCAGAGCTTGTAAAATCAGCACCGGTTGGTTGCTGGGTAGATCAACTTAATTGGATGTAAAAGGCACCTAAAGCTCAAATACACACAAATGAGCACATGCTTTATTTTAGAAAGATGATTCATTCCTACACTTGCGCAGTTTGAGCTAAGATATAACACTGTATACAGCAGCAACATGCCAGCATCACAAGAGTCCCAATGCACACACTGATACAATTACACCGTTAACCGCGTCCAGGGTGGGCTAGCTATGGGGGGTACTTAAAATCTAGGTCACGGAGACACTTAGACACACACATAAGATGGTGTCAGTCTCAATCTGTCAGAGGTTGTGGTGGGTTTCGACACTACTTGAACTTCAGATCTGAAGGATGCGGCTGGTGTGTTTGGTTTAAAGCGTAAACTTGCCGAAGTTGTGCTAATGACAGAGCGCTGCCTCAGTGTTTGGGAACTATCTGCTCCTGAAGGAGTCAACATAGATCCTGAGTATGTCTGGGGGAGGGGGAGTAAGGAATAAATAGATTTACCGTTGAGTGAAGTAACCACACACTGGAGAGAGAAAGAGAGGCAGAGATGCGAGGAGGAAGATTGTTGACTGAAACTGTTGCACGGTGTGATGCAGAATGAGGAAAGAAGAGGAGGGGAGCAAGACGAGGAGAACAAGACATTTTTAGTCAGACACCGGCACCCTGTGAGGGAGGGAAAGTGTCTCCTGCGTCTTCAGACCAGACTCTGCCTAGCATCATAGCCCCCCCCCTCGATACACACACATACTGCACACAGACACACACCACACACACACACTAACTGTCCTCGTCTTGCTCTCCCATGTAAATATGAGCCATCTCTTGTTGCTCATTGGCAGACCGGTGATGGCTCTTCAGTTTCTGGCCCTCAGCTTCTCAGTCCATCTTAAATCTACTCCTGGCTTTTAGCAGAATGGTATCCATTTTAATTTTGTTATCAAGTTCTGAAATGTTTAGTTATGAAAACGTTCTTTCTTTTTTTGACAGAATGTTCCTTGTGTTTTACGACCCGAGTTGGTGAAGACAAACAAAAAGCTAAACAGAGTGATGTATTCACTCCCTTATTGAAAGAAGCAAAAGCGCAGAAATGAGTATATCTGGATATTTATCGCAATTAATCCAGTTATTGCAAATGTCAATGTTATTAGGCTAACACTGTCTTACATTATGTCCATATTTTACTTTTTTCCGATTCCTTAACACTGCAATTCCGTAATGTTGTCTTCTCCCAAAAGTCATTACAAAACGTTGTAATCTAATACTTCACAGTCAACATTTGAAATCATTCATTATTTAGAAAATTCATAAAAGCTTTACTTGATTTTCTTTATTTGGGGGTGTGTTCCTCCTTGATTACTTAATTGTGTTAACTTGTGTCTTTTATTGGACTGGTCTGTTATTCCATATAAAATACAAATCCAATTATAATTGATTAGTAAGAGAGTGTGAAAGCTGAATCTTCATTAGAGCTGATGCCTGAGGGTCTCTGATGGGCTAACCGATTGTGTCAGCTTTGATTGACAGCTGTCTGCTGAGGCATTCACAGCTTTCATGATGTACACACTCACACATACATCACACTTACAGTCTGTACAGCAAAACACTTAACTTCTCATTAAATATTTATGCACTTATTGATTCAGGCTTTGCTGTTTACAGGAAACTCACGCAGCACTTTGTGCCGTCACCTGATGTGACTGCGAGTCCGGAGGGTTTCAGCAGATCTTCTTGTAGAGCTGCATTCCTCTCTGTTTAGAGTCGGGAGCTCACAACGTTTATTATACAAGGAAATTCACCCGGCTGCAATCACTGTAATCTTACTTTGTTTGTGAACATTCATTCAGACATCATTGCCAGACATAAAGGATCCCACAGACATAAATCTAAAAAGAATTGTTAATATTGTGAGGGTGAAAAGAGTAGAATGCAATCGTATAATTTTAATTTATATTGGTTAAAAGGAAATTATTTAAGCACTGTCATTGCTGTTGTTCGTATCTTCACTTTAGTTTGATATAGAAATATAGATTACAGTAAAGGTTTTCTGGTGTTTAGTTTAAGTTCCTGCTTAAAAATCTGAGTTTGGTCCTTTTAAAGTAAGAGTTTTTTGTGTTGCCTACATTAGTTACAGAAAGATGAAAAGGTGCAGTGTTGTGAAGGTGAATCTGTGTTGTGCTGCATGATGGCTGCCTCCTCAGTCTCTGGAGCCAGAAAGTCTATTAACTGGCTTTCATCGACGCAGCAGCAATAGGCCGATGTCATCATCTCACTGTAATTGCATCTCAAGTGTGTGTGCGGGCGTATGCTTGTGAGTGTAATAGGTTGTATTTTGTGTTTGAGAGCCTGTGTTTTAGAGACATTTGGTTTTTCGGACAGACAACTGCATCACCATCATCTGCAGATGAAAAGAGTAATGTGTGTGGGGATGGATGGATGGATAGATGGATGGATGGATGGATGGATGCGTTGTGCCATTTCTATGACAAAACAGGCAAACAATAAATAGAATATGGAGGAAAAATACTCATGCCTTACTTTTACATTAACATGAGAAGTTGGTCTTTTTTTGTCAGCGACACTGAAATGTTTAACTGCAACAAAAAACCGGACTCAAAGCATTGTTTTACTTACAAAGTACTGTCGGAGTGTACAACTAAATCTACAGAAAAAAGTAGTCGAGGAACCCAATGTGTTTCAATACATTTGAGGGCATGAAAATGTCAACATTTTAGTTCGAACATTTCTCAGGAAGAAAACACTGTTCGGCATTGACCGAAAGGAAAAATTCAAGGAACTCTAATAGAAAAATCAATACTCACAGCGAGGACGCTCAAGTTCAATTACTTCAGTTTAAAAGAGAGAGCTTATTTACCAGGTCTCAGATATCATTTGTGCCTGATTTATTGTGGAAGTTATTACCCTCCTAGCAAACATCTTTGGTATTGTTTATGTGCTACTGATGACCATACAGACTTCCAGTCAAGCTGCATAAAAAGTATTTCCCCTGATGTGCCCTCACGCAGAATAACAGAACCCGGAGTCAACCTGAGCCCGGGCTGCCTCACCTCGAACCTTGAGAGAAATGACATGCACACATGGTTGAAATACGTGTGAATTGATACACACTCGTTCACCCCACGGACTATTAATAGCACTCACTTAAATAGTATTTCCTCTCTCTCTGCAGCTAATGATAATAAAATAAACGGTCCATCTGTGTGTGTGTTGCAGGTGGGGAAGGAGACGGTTCAAACCACCGAGGACCAGGTGATGAAGAGAGACATGCCTCCTGCGTTCATCAAGTAAGTGTGTCTCTAAAGCACTGTGCCAGAAAACAACTTGTTTCTTGATATGCCTCCCCCTCACTCACAGAAATACCCAGTGACCAAATCATAGAAAAGTATCCACTTTATCTCAGTAGACAGAGAAGTTATTAAAAAGAGGATTCCAGACGATTTAATGTCAGGAAACGTGGCTGTGTTCCCGGCTGCAACAAAGAGCCTCTTCTAAAGCCGAGGCCGGACTCCCTGCATCCCGGCCGCTGAGAGGCTGTTTGTTGTTTTCCAGCTTGCATCCAAAGAGCTGACATGAACTCAGTGTGCCAGCCGAGAGCTTCTACTCAGCAATACTCCGACCCAGACATCTGGCTTGCAGTATGTGTTGCAGTTTTGTGTATGTTCATGTTTTTTCTGTTTGTTTGATATCTTTAATTTGTAGGCCTACGCTCCGTTTTTTCCTTTTCTATTGTTGCTCAGTTTTCATATATGAAAAATAAAAAGCTTCCAGACCTCCAGCAGGTCCACACACTGCTCTCTCAGGCCCATTCGCACATACACGGGGACACTACACCATACATTTCACTCACGGGGCTTAGAAAGGGGCGTGTGGGAATGTGAACCAGACTAAATATAGATGAACCAGCAGCCATCGATACCCTGACCAATGGGGGTCAGAAAGAGGAGGGCTTTGTGCTAGTGCTCTTAAAATCCATCCTCAGGTTAAGATAATCATTGATCTCTAAGGAATAGCTTAGCCCGAAATGTTAAGCATTTTACTATTGTTGATGAGCATCAGCAGATATAAATACAAATATGTTAGATTATTGGAAACACACTGCACCCTGAATCCCAGATTGGATTGCAGGACATCAACTCTTTGTCATTGCTATTTACATGGCTGACACAACATTTAAAATGCATTAATAAATAGAAAAATCTCTTCTAACTCGTTGCACTTGTCTATATGTGCACCTTGTTAACCATCTCTTGTTACAAGGAGGGCAGCTTCTGAGGAGTGGCAGATGGTTTTCTTTGCTAGACATGAGATTTGATTTACAAGGCGATAAATTCCTACGTTTGCTAAATGTCTTAAGCCGGCCTGTGTATTTTCAGGGTGGAGAACTCGAGCTCTAAGCTGGTCCAGGCGGCTCAGATGCTAAAGGCCGATCCCTACTCTGTGCCCGCTCGAGATTACCTGATCGATGGATCCAGAGGGATCCTGTCCGGGACGTCAGACCTGCTCCTTACCTTTGATGAAGCAGAGGTGTGTGTGTGTGTGTGTGTGTGTGTGTGTGTGTGTGTGTGTGTGTGTGTGTGTGTGTGTGTGTGTGTGTGTGTGTGTGTGTGTGTGTGTGTGTGTGTGTGTGTGTGTGTGTGTGTGTGTGTGTGTGTGTGTGTGTGTGTGTGTGTGTGTGTGTGGTGTGTGTGTGTGTGTGTGTGTGTGTGTGTGTGCGTGTGCGTGTGCGTGTGCGTGTGTGTGTGTGCGTGCGTGTCCTTTAAACTCATGCGTGTGACCTGGAATCACTCTTACTTTCAGGGAAATAAAGCTTTATATAGCTGCACAGAGGAAGGAGGAACTCAGCTCAGAGCAAGATAGTAATGGAGTCTAAAATGCAGCAAGATCTAATCACTGAGATCAAATGACTTTCCTCTGTCATAACTCAGGATGTGTGTTTGCGTGTGTGTCTGGTTCTGTGTGTGTGAGTATATGGATATATACCAGCCTGTATGGTGTGTATTTGTGTGTGTGTCTGTGTGTTTTAAGTGGAATCACATTGGGCACGTGATTATGCTCGCCATGGCTCATCACTAGCCTCATTTTTAAAAGAGCAACTTCACACAGTCACAAGACGTACATCACAAGACTGAACACACACACAACATACAAAGAGACCACACAAAGAACAGGAAAACTAAGATGTCTAAAAAAACCTCATGCACACACAGAATTTTGTCCTTAATATTATAAAGAAGTTTGTATCTTATCATCATTATCAGGCCCTGTTTACGCCTGAATACATGATCTGCTTTTGATTATGCGTGTTGTTTTGTGTCTTAGGTGCGTAAGATCATTCGGGTGTGTAAAGGGATCCTAGAGTATCTGACGGTAGCTGAGGTGGTGGAGACCATGGAGGACCTCATCACTTACACCAAGAACCTGGGACCAGGTCAGCAGGAGCTTTATTTATTTTCTTTTTTTTAATAAAGAACTGCCTTCAAGCTGCTACTCAGATGGACTACTATAAAAATGTCACAAATGGGTGAAGTTTCATGTGGCATCACTAAAACTGAGAATCACAGAGCAACTATCCACAAATGTGTTTGGGGATAAACATTGTAGGAATTTGTAATCAACAAAAGAATAATCAAGATTATTACTGGACATTAAAAATGAGTATAAGCAACGGTGAAAAATAGGTTGCGCTGTAAATCCCATTTAGTTTTCAGTCATGTATGAAAATCACGAGTATATTGGCATTTATAAAATGAAAACTGCTTAATGTTTTCGCGTATTTTTCTATTGGTTTGTGATTGTTAGAAAGACAAATCAATACAGGACAAGACAGGACAGGACTTGGACCCAATTTTTTGTCAATTCATAGCACAATTAACCTTTGTATTATTTTATTCTGTTGGTTAAAGATCAATCCCTCATGAGGAAAAACAAAATTAACTACTGGCCGCTCCTCTGACACTGAGATGCCGTAATTAAAGATCTTTTCATTGGCAAGAGATATAAACAGGCTATTTATCATCAGAGGTAAAAGGTCAATTGTGTTGTCAAAGCACTGTGGCATAATGAGCTGGAGGCAATCTGATGCAGAGGTTTTCCCACACTTGATTGATGCTGTCAATGTACGAGGTCAGTCGTTTGTGAAGTAACGATCTGTGTAGACGTGGTAGAGCTACTCAGGGGGTGAATAACCTGCGGGATGCCCTCCGAGTCTGATTGTTGGGATGCTAACGCTAACAAACCCAAGGTCACGACCTCTTGCTGCTTTCTACCTTCTTGTTGGTTTGATTTAAGTAACCTCTGATGTTCATCGGACAATAAATCCACATTTTATTTTTCCACAGGGATGACCAAAATGTCAAAGATGATTGAGGAGAGGCAGCAGGAGCTGACGCACCAAGAACACAGACAGATGCTCGTCAACTCCATGGGCACTGTCAAAGAGCTGCTGCCGGTTCTAATATCAGGTGTGTGTGTGTGTGTGTGTGTGTGTGTGTGTGTGTGTGTGTGTGTGTGTGTGTGTGTGTGTGTGTGTGTGTGTGTGTGTGTGTGTGTGTGTGTGTGTGTGTGTGTGTGTGTGTGTGTGTGTGTGTGTGTGTGTGTGTGTGTGTGTGTGTGTGTGTGTGTGTGTGTGTGTGTGTGTGTGTGTGTGTGTGTGTGTGTGTGTGTGTGTGTGTGTGTGTGTGTGTGTGTGTGTGTGTGTGTGTGTGTGTGTGCAAACGACAGCAAGGTTCACTGAGCATGAAACTGTTGTTATAGCAACGCTGATAATTACAGTCTTTAGTTGCTGGGGACAGACTACATCGCCCACTAGCTGCTTTGTATACTGCACCAGCAGAGGAGAGAAACACTCTTACAAATGTTTATTCAAAAACTCCCTTATTCTGTGGCTGTAAAGTCAGAAAGTTTGGACATGTAGCTTTGTCTTGCAAGATCACAAAACCACTCTATAACTTTAAGATAAGAGATAAAGATAAGATATACTTTAATTGATCCCAAATTGTGAAATGTTTTTGTTGAAGCAGATAAGGGGTCAAATGTAACATTTTCACATTAAAACGTGAAACTGCCTTATTCAGTGGTTTAAATATAACTGCAGATAATTCGGCAGTCGCATTTTAAACCTCTTTAACGACAAAGGATGAATTCAGCTGTAAAGTATTTAAATTATTATAAACAATGTTACATTTTCTGATGGTAGTTTTCTTTTTGTATAATATTTTGACATTTCTGGTGTCATATGTAATAACAAATACATAAATGTTTCTGTCTTCAGCTATTAAGATTTTTGTATCAACTAAGACCAGTCGCGGTGCCGGTGTTGAAGAGGCAGAGATGAACCGGAGATTTACCTTTGAAAAGATGAGCGCTGAAATCCACGAGATCATAAGAGTCTTACAGCTCACTACATGGGATGAAGACGCCTGGGCCAATAAGGTACAACCTGGTTTGCACAAACTCAGATGTTCTTAATTGTATACCCCTAACCCCAAAAACATACTAAAAATCCTCCCAGACCTGAATCAGAAAATCACTTTTGCTTTTGAGTGCCTGTTTGCACACACATAGCCACACACTCTATCCACACATCCCTCTGTTCTGCAGAGTCAAAAAAGAATCACTCTTCACTTTCTGTCTCCACTTTTTCTTTTGGCTCGTTAGTATAACTCTTGGTTTTTCTTTTTCTTTTCTTTCTTTACCTTTCTCCTCCATTCTTTTCCTCCCTGTAGAAGGTAAGCCTGTTTCTCTCCAGCTCTGCAGTTTCCAGCATGCATGTGTGTCTGTGAGAGAGTGGAGGAAGTATTTCCTTATGCTTAAATATGTATCTGTCATGCTTGGATTGAACAATAAGTGTGTCATGTGTTTTAATCCACTGACCGTTATATTGTCCCTTTGTGCATCTGTTTGTCTTGAATTGTCCATTTGAGTCAAATGGCTTGAAACAGATGACAATTATAAGCAAATATGTTTTTTAAGAAGAACTGCTTTAGAAAATAAACCTGTCATGGTGTTTTTCTTCTTGTGCTGCTAATGTTTGTGTAACTGTGTGGTAGAGCTGTCAGTAGTAAATAAGATGCAGATTAAGTCTCTCTGAAATGTTTATTTTTGGCACATGAGTTAGACATTGTGCCACAAGATCATTTACTGATAGAGTTGAGATGTGTTTCCCTAGTCTAACCTGTAACCCTGCATGTTTCTCTGCACACAGCTTTCAGATGATGATCTGTCTGTTTGTGTGCTTGTGTGTGTGTTGTGCTGTTGACATACCCTGTGTATGAGTTGTGATTAGCACTTACTGTCAGTGTGTGCGGTAACAGCAGGCTCACTAGGACTCTTCCTCCACTCAGGTCATGAATTATAGAATAAGCTGCTTGGTGTCCAGACACATCCATAATAGATGAGGTGTATTGAACATTTCCACTTAAGCGGTTCCGTCCCCTCTGAGTTCGAAAACAGATTTTTTTCTCTTTACCTAATATTTTGTGGTTAGCTACTGTATGAGATGGTTATCCTCGCTTAAATATCTCCTTTAAATTGGTGTATTTAGCCAATCAAATGTCACGATGTATTAGGCCAATCAAATGACTGGAACCAATAGGGATGAGTGCAAATTATTGACCCTAATTATTCAAGATAGATAGTTTATTTTGTACTGCTTTAAAGATAATTTGAGCTTTTTGGATTGCCAGGTAGAGAGCCCACAATTAAGTAGATACATTTGGCTGCAATGCTTAACACAGTAAACATTTGTTTGTGATTCATTATTATTTGTTTCTAGCACGATTATTGATACAAAATGTATAAATAAAAACGTCCAAAGTTATTCCTGGGAACTCTTTATTTACAGTATCCCGTAATGTGAAGCTGTGTCTTGGTATGTTTTGACAGAGCTACTTTCCTCTCTCCCCTCAGGATATGGAGGCTTTGAAGAGATATTTGGCTTTGATTGAGTCAAAGATGGCACAAGCTAAAGGCTGGCTCAAAGACCCCCATGGACAACCAGGTAGCGGGACCTTTTCTGCTCTTTGCTACAAAACGTAATGTTGTTTATGTTTTTCCACAATGTGATCCATCCTGTGGTGTGTCGTTGTCCCCAGGAGACCCCGGTGAGGTCGCCCTGCGTGTGATTCTGGATGAAGCTGGCAAGGTGGGAGAGCTTTGTGCCGGAAAGGAGAGGAAAGATATACTGGCAACCAGTAAGGCTCTGGGACAAATGAGTGACCAGGTTGCAGATCTACGAGCCAGGTAGTGTGTCATTAAAAGGGACTGTCAATTAAACTGTTATATTTATTTCCTTGTCTTCATGTCATTTTGCAACTTGTGTGTTTTTCCTTTATGACAGAGGACAGGGCCCGACCCCGGGGTGTGTGCAGCGTGCAGGCCAGTGCTCGCAGGGCTTGGACTTGTTATTCGGCAAAGTGGACAATGCTGCTCGTAGACTGGAGGCTCTAATCAATGCCAAGCAGTCCATAGCCAGGAGGCTGGACGCTGCACAGGTCAGATTAAACAGCAACAGCAATAGTAATCCATGCAAACCCTCCCTCCTCCCTGTATCCTATTTTCTGTCCCATTTGTTCTATTTGATTTAGGGCTGTCCCAATATCAGTTTTTCACTACACAAAATCTTCACTTAAATTGACCTTTAACTTTGTTTATTGTACGTTTCGTCTCTTTTGTTGACAAATGTATTACAAACTAATGTGAGTGCATGAAGGTGGAGAAAAAGTCTGTAACCACAACTGTGCACAAAAAGAACAATCACCCTAATGGATAGTGAAAAAGGCAACCATATTACCTGATAAATAATCTGCCAACACATCTGTATCATATGTATATTATCATTTTGATATCCATATTTCCTTCTTTTTTTTCTTCTCAAAATTCAATGTCAATATCATCAATACCTGTTAATCCTTAGTTTGTAGGACATTTCTGTAAATAATTTAAGGTTGTAAGCTAGTGTGAGTCAGCTAAAGGCTACATATACAATGTTAGGCAAACCTTTCCCAGCCATGAAGATACAGATTTATGTTTCATATTCCATCAGATTAGAACTAAGCCATATATTTACCTTTGTAGGCCTGGCTGGCTGATCCTAACGGCGGTCCTGAGGGGGAGGAGAACATCAGAGCGCTACTCGCAGAAGCCAAACGCATCGCCGATCTCTGTGAAGACCCCAAAGAGAGGGACGACATCCTGCGCTCCATCAGCGAGATCGCAGGCCTCACCGCCAGACTGGTGGAGCTACGCAGACAGTACGATTTCCTTCTTCTGACACATGCACGACCAATGATGTGTTGTGACTCTATTTAATTTTTAGACCCTGTTTTTCTAGGTTTAAACAGCAACGTCATGTCATCAATAGATGGCATATTCTACCTGCCTGGAAAATATGTTGTTGCCTGTCGACCATAGGCATGAGTCCTACAATAAGGTTTCTGTTTGAATATGTTGCGGGACAGATGGGTCTTTGGTATTTTGGTGGAGGGTCAGTAACAGTATCGGGGTCAAACAAGGAAAATACAACTCAATTTAAGGTTGTGCCACAGAATTTCCTATTCGAAATACAATTAAAATGCAGTCTGATGGCCAGGTCATTTGGTTTTTAACCGTTAATGGTACTTTAGTTCCATCACAGCGGGATGAGTCACTATTACAAATGTATTTTCTGTACTCCAGATCCACTGCGTGTATTGACCATACAAGGAAAACTGAGATAAACATGACAAGCAAATTAAATGAGCCAGCTGTTACCGAGATCAACACAACAGCTATGGATCGTGACTCTCAAAGGAGATAGATGTGGCTGCTCTAGTACACTGACTGCACTAATAAACTGTAAAACTGGCCTTAGATCTGTCATTAATGAAACACTCACAATAAATTACTTGGAGCTGTTGTAGCAGAAATATAGACCTAGATCAGAATTTGTATGAACTCTTTATCATCATTTCTGGTTACACTAATAGAAAATGTATGTTGACAAAAGGTGGCATCAACCTTTGACAGTATTTTCCTTTAAGGCGGTGTAAAACAGGGGTATGATGCGACATTTGTCAGGTTTGAAGTCTGTATTTAAGGGGAGACACTACAGGTGAACAGCATAATAAATATTGCGGACCATGGGTGAATTTCTTTCTGCTTGTCATAAAAAATACTTATTAAAGCCTGGGCTGTAAAAAACAGTGTTATACCCTGTAGTGTCTCCCCGATGTATTTCTGCACCACATGGCTTTTACAAATGGAGGTTTTCCCTTTAATCATCTCTATCTGTTACTCTCTCAGGGGTAAAGGGGACAGCCCGGAGGCCCGTGTAATGGCAAAGCAGATCGGAGCAGCGCTGCTGAACTTGCAGTCCAAAACCAACCGCGCTGTGGCCAACATGAGACCGGCCAAACCTGATGTCACCCTGGAGGGCAAGATGGAGCAGGCCCTCCGCTGGGTGAGCAACCCCGGAGTGGAAGACAGAGGAGTAGGTGAGTGGGGTTGGATGACGGCTCCAGGGAGGGCTGATTTAGTAGTTCAAAAATAAACGCTCCGACCTTCCATGCCTTTTGTCAGCCTCTGAGCAGTTATGGGATCATGAAAGATGTGAGGTGTTTAAGGTCCATGAGGAAGACACACATTCTCACGTTTTCATCATTCAGCAGCCATTTTAAAACATTTCTAAATGTGGTACAGAAATGACTGTGTTGGTGATTGATGTCATTTCCTTAAATGCCCGCAGTGAGTCACCGAATGACTAACTTATTTAGTCATTTAGGAAGAATTGTGTCGCTTTTAACGTTTTGTTTGATGCCTGTTGCTGTATCCCTGTTTCTTCATTTGCTTGTTTCCTATTTCCTCCCATGCTTCCCTATGGGAGCAGAGTGTGAGATACTACAGTGGAACACAGGTACCCGCCCACTATATGCTTGCTTAGAGGATATTACCACTATAACACTATAGATATTAATCACATCACATTCGTAGACACTATGGCAACTTCCCTAATACACAGAAGTCATTTCTCACCCCTTGTATTTTTAGAATTTATGAGACCATGTTACCAACATTTACGAAAACACTGTGCTTCCATTCAGAGATGGTTCATGTCTATATAAGGATGTGTAATTATTTGTATTAAAGACACTGGAGTGTATCCAGATGTGATGTGAGAATGACTTGTGTCCTGTGTCACTCCCCAGGTCAGGCAGCGATCAGAGGGATGGTGGGAGAAGGAAAGAGGCTGGCAGGAGGCTTGATAGGCCCGTACCGGCAGGATATGATTGGACGCTGCGACAGAACAGAAGGTCTAATGACAAATTTGGCAGACATGGCTGGCAGGGGCGAGGCTGAGGCTCCGCATGCACGAGCTACTGCCGCACAACTGCAGGACAGCCTCAAGGTAGCTCAACGGTCCCACAAACACACACATTTACTACCACAGAGTATCAGTGGTCAAACCCACAGAGGTTATTTAGAAAATGAATGTACAAATGTAAAGTTACTAAATATACAAAATACGGGAATTGTGGGTTAAATGATGTAGAAGACATATAGAATATTTACATTGAATGCTGCATCCATACAAACATGGAGTAGTGTATACACGATGATGCATGGATGTTCTGTGCTCAAAGTACTGGCTCAGAGCTCCACCTAGAGGACGGATTTAACACTTTGCTTCTACTAGGACCTGAGGCGGCACATGCAGGAGGTGATGACCCAGGAGGTATCGGACGTTTTCAGTGACACCACCACCCCTATCAAACTGCTGGCTGTGGCTGCAACTGCTCCCCCTGAGGCCCCTAACAGAGAGGAGGTCTGTAGCGTTAGAAAATCTGTGCTGTTAGGTGTGTAAAGAATACAAATCCAAAGAAAGAGGATGGTTAGAGAATTCTAAAGCAATATGAATGTTTGTTGTAGGTTTTTGAAGAGCGTGCAGGGAACTTTGAGGCCCATGCAGGCCGTCTGGGGGCGACCGCAGAGAAGGCTGCTGCTGTGGGATCAGCCAATAAGAGTACAGTAGAGGGGATACATGCTGCTGTGAAACATGCCAGGGATCTCACACCACAGGTGCTATTTTTGTTTTTTCTGTCACTGATATGCACGATTGCAAACACTGGGTAAACCATGTTCAGTGTCTTTCCTACACTGTCTGACATGTTTGTTGATGTCCAGGTGACCACGGCTGCTGTGATCTTGTTGAAAAATCCTGGGAATAAAGCCGCATACGAGCACTTTGACACCATGAAGAATCAGTGGATTGACAATGTAGAGAAACTCACTGGTGAGGATTTTCTTAACATTTCTTGTGTTATTTAAATAATAAAAAGTGTAGATTCCAAAGTAAGTAAGTAAGTGGCAAGTATTAAATAAGGTTTATTTTTATAGCATTTTTCAAAGAACAGCATCTCAAATTTCTTCACAAAAATATATAAATAATAATACCTTTAAAACAGTTAAACAAACGTATTAAACTTGGGTGTTTCCGTGCCCTCAGGTCTGGTTGACGAGGCCATCGACACCAAATCTCTGTTGGATGCTTCTGAGGAGGCTATAAAGAAAGACATCGACAAGTGCCGAGTTGCCATGGCGAATGTTCAGCCCCAAATGCTTGTTGCCGGGGCAACAAGCATAGCAAGACGAGCCAATAGGGTCCTGTTGGTGGCTAAGAGGGAAGTGGAAAACTCTGAGGATCCGCGGTTCAGAGATACGGTGAAAAACGCATCAGACATCCTCTCACACACCATCTCTCCCATGGTGATGGATGCTAAAGCCGTGGCTGGGAACATACAAGATAAAGGTACAGCCGTGCACTATGCAAACACATGTTCAAGATACTGTATTTCAGGCTTATTCACTCTACTACGCTGCACCTGTTCCTCCACAGCTCTGCAAAAGGCATATTTGGACTCTTGTCTGAGGATCCTGGCTGCAGTCGGAAAAGTTAGAGAAGCCTTCCAACCTCAGGAGCCCGACTTCCCTCCTCCCCCACCTGACCTGGACCAGCTCCATGTAAGCACATTCAAACACACGCATTTCCTTTTATGCACAGTAAACCTTAAATGACACATAACTTTCCAACACAATATGAACTAACCCTTTAAAACACCAAAGGGGCCTGCCGACCGCAGTCTACTGTTGGTAATACACTGACTACGAAAAGTACTCGCATAACCCCTCTTCAAAAAAGGAGCTATCCCTTTAAACAGAGGGAGAAAGTCATTTTTCATCCTCTCTGGTAGTGACCTTGAACTGCCAGCTGCTCCAGTGGAGCTGCTCTGTGTCCTAGAGCAGGACACCCATTAGAGTGGGTAGCCCTCAGGTGTAATTGAAAATGGGAGGGTGGGTGTTGCCACTAATATTTTCCTGGAAAATTACATAAATTATATAATATTTACTATAGTAGAGAAATACTTTCAATTTAAATGTTTAACCGGTTGATCAGGGGCTTTCATTTTGAAATAAGAAATGGCAAAGACTAAGGAGCTTATAGCAACTGCATTTAAATGTGATAAGAGTTCAAACAGGCCTGAAACTTTAACCAGATGTTATGTGTAAACCTTTCTTCTTCATTGGTACAACCACTGCATGTTGCAAATGTCACTTTTTCATTTGTTCCCAAACTACATCTAATCGACAACATACAGTGTGTGTGACTACCAAAAATAAACTATCCTTTTTTTTTTCCAGGTGAGTGATGAGCAGGCGCCACCTAAGCCGCCCTTGCCAGAGGGCGAAGTGCCCCCCCCTCGGCCCCCGCCTCCGGAGGAGAAGGACGAGGAGTTCCCAGAGCAGAAGGTTGGGGAGGTGCTCAGCGAGCCCATGATGGTGGCCGCCCGGCAGCTGCACGACGAGGCCCGCAAGTGGTCCAGCAAGGTCAGTTCACATAAACATGGATCAAAGTTAACACATCCACTCCATCAAACATGTCTAATTTCTTACATACAGTTCTGGGTAAAATACACCAGCTGGTTAATAATATCCCTGTGTCATGTTAGTAGGAATGACTGAAGTGGTTTCACTTTTTTTCTGTGTTGGCTATAATACACTTGGTGCCATTTCATATTCTGTAAATATCCTGAAATCAAGTTTTTCCTGGAATTTTGAGTTTTGATGCTGAAATGTGGAGATTAGTGACCCGATTCCAACTTCAGAGGGATAACTGGAAACTCTCATCCGCTCATGCTTGTAACAAACTTACATGCACAAAGTATATAGGAAAAACAGTAATTTGGAGGAAACAATCCAGCCAAGTCATAACAAGAACACTGTATTTGCAGTAGACTTTGTATTCTTTCTCCTGTCACTGTTGGTGTATGTCCTGTATGTGTGTGTCGAGTATTTTGCATGGAAGAACTGTGTATAGTAACAATGAACCTGTGAAAATAACTATTCATTATTCAGGAATAATGCCCTCTTGCTGTCTTTGTAAAGCTCATCACTCTTTTCCCCTTTATAGTTGACAGTTTTTCCATAATAATCTATGCATCAGAGGTGTCTTTGGAAACCGGGCACAAAGGATCTCTTACCTTTCGTGGCATTGGGTCACACTAAGCACATTCCCAGCACACTGCTAGCCTCATAAATACATTAGAAGGATGCAAAGCACTGGTTTGGGCTACAGTGAGATCTTGTTTTATTAAGCACATGCTCAGTAAGGCATGTCATCCATCTGCTACCTGCCCACACCATCTACTCTTTCATATGTTTTGCCCCATCTTTGCTTGCGCATGCAGTTTCACTCCACCTCTCCCCCCTCCTCCACAGTGCTTGTATTCGCCCCTCCTCCCTCCTGTAAGTCCTGTCCTCTGTTCTTCCATTCAGTGCCTCCATACTGTACTAAATGCCTCCTTTTCCCATGCTTCATTCCCTCCTGCCATCCCTGGCTTTCTCCCTTTTCTCCACATTCCTCCTTTTCTTTTCCTCCTCGTCCCCCCTTTCTTTGTGTCCCTACCTTTCCTTCCCATCCCAATTGATCCTCCACCCACAACCAACAACCCACCCCCCTCCGCCCCACCCAGCCTGTGGAGGAGGAGGCAGTAGAGGAGAGAGAGGTTTATGATGAAGATGAGTTTACTGATGGTGAGGATGACTATGAGCCAGAACTGCTGATGATGCCCTCCAACCAGCCTGTCAATCAACCCATGCTGGCAGCTGCCCAGGCTCTCCACCAGATGGCGCGCAAGTGGTCCAGCAAGGTCTGCGCACATGCACATGAGTGCACACACAACCAGACAGGGTCAGGCAGTGTTTGGAAATAGAGCGCTGCAAAGATGATACACAGGAAGTTTGCATGATGCAGGTTCTCATAAAAAAGCCAATTGGATTTTGTATCATTGCAGAAACTAAGCTTTGTGACAAACAAGAGTTTTTTGATGTTTACATGATTTGTTCAGCATGTCAAATCAACAAAATCTAAGAGTGGGGTATGATCGAAGTATTTTATTTTGTAGAACAAAAAGTTAAATCTCATAAGCTTGTGTTTTACCACAGACCATGTTTCAGGCTTCTAACAAAAAAACAACTCAAAGAACCAATCGACTTTGTTATGACGGATCTGCACATGCAAAGAAAATGCTAACTCATTTGTGGGTTTTACGACTCACTCCTACAGCACTATATGGTTCCCAATATTTTGCGCTGCTGGGATCCATACAGCTGTTTGACCACCAACACACACATCCACGCATGCGTACAGAAAAGTGCACCACACATCCACGCCCTGCAGGATAAAGTAACACTGGAGAAGCTGATAAGTGTGCAAATACTGAGCACTGAATCATGGAAATGCATCGCACTCACACTGTTATGCTGACACTACGCTAAGGTTGCACTAAAGGTTGCGGATTGTTTGAATGGCAAGTTTGTTTGTTGCACCACCTGGATACATTTGCCACTGGCTTCACAAGTCCATCTCTTATAATCATGGTCACTCAATGTCTTGCCAACCTGTGAAGCCAAGGATGACAGTTTCCCAAAGAATTCTGGGTGATGTAGTTTTGACATTAGACTGCCTGCTTGCCTGGTATAAACACTTGCTTCTGCTTCTTAGTATCAGCGTGCGTACTGATGGCTACAACACTGTGAACATCACCTAATATGTACTTACCTCACAATGGCTGTGATGTGAGGACCTCAACACTGTTTCCCTTCAAACTATTGATAGAAATGTGTCAATAACCTTCTTTCATTAAGGTTCAAATATACGTGGTGACTTGCACTGACACTGCATGCAGCTTTCTTCTTGTAACTATTGTGGCTGTTTTGCATTTGTAGTTGAAATGAATTCCTACAAAGCACCAGGATTATTATTTTCTGTATCCTACATTATGATAATCACAAACATTTTGAAAAGTCCCCTTTGCATTCCCACCATTTAACCAAAGCCATGCTCCTCTCCTATATCTTTCTCACAGTTCTTACTACTTCCTCCTCTACCCCCTACTCCTCTACCTCTCTTCAGGGTAACGACATCATCGGTGCAGCCAAGCGGATGGCTCTGCTAATGGCAGAAATGTCTCGGCTGGTGCGTGGTGGAAGTGGGAACAAACGAGCGCTGATTCAGTGTGCTAAGGACATTGCCAAAGCGTCCGATGAGGTGACGAGACTGGCTAAGGAAGTGGCCAAGCAGTGCACTGACAGACGCATCAGAACTAACCTGCTGCAGGTGAGGACACTCATACACACATAGACGGATTGCAAGACAATAATGGGGGCCTGGGAACCGACATACATGGCCCCACGTATCCCAAACAAGAACAAGACACAGATGTCATTTTATGTCTTTGTGCTTGTGAAGATCCTTTTCTTGTGATTATTTTGCATCGCTTTGTGGTAGGTATGTGTCTCTTATCGTGACATTTTGTAGGTGAATGTGGACAATTCAAGCCCCTCTGCCTTTGTGTGTAGGCCCATTAGTTATCTATGCACAGACAGATATAAAAACGTTGTCGTATAGAGAATCATTTGCATGTTTTTCTCCTTTCAAAGGTGTGTGAACGAATCCCTACCATCAGCACGCAGCTGAAGATCCTCTCTACTGTCAAAGCCACCATGCTGGGACGAACAAACATTAGTGAAGATGAGTCAGAGCAGGTAAACTCCATACATTTCACACAATATGGAGTGCCACTTCAATACCACTCTGTCCCAAGAGTCTGTTTAATGCTAAATGTAAAGCACTCATGATGCATGGGGTCAATTTCAGACCCATATATATTATATTCCTGGATTATAAATGCATAGTAGAGGTTTAAAGTGGTAGAAAACACTTGTATACATGTACCTGAGCACAGTACAGAAGGAATTGTACTTACTTTGCACCACTGCTGAATACTTCCTCTTAATATCCTTTCTTCATTTTGTGTTATCATTTCACCACCGTCTGCTTCAATTCCAAATGTATTCTTGTCCAGGCCACAGACATGTTGGTGCATAACGCCCAGAATCTGATGCAGTCGGTGAAGGAGACGGTCAGAGAAGCAGAAGCAGCCTCCATCAAGATCCGCACAGATTCAGGATGCACCCTTCGCTGGGTGCGCAAGACCCCCTGGTACCAATAATCCAACCTGCTCACTGAAACTGTTAAACTTAGCTCTGATAGCACACCTCGGGTAAAGGTAGCAATACTCATCATGAGTAAACGTGCACTTATTCAAAGAGGAAACTGATGATAGGTACCATGCAGATTTATTCAATCGAGTTCAGCTTTGCTCTCCAGCTCTCTTTATCTGTAACTGTGGAATCACGTAGGCTTATCTGTGACAGTTTATAATATATATTTTTGGTATGTTGTGTTACAAGAGTAGGTATATATTTTTTGCATGGACATTTTTCTATTTTCTAAAGGCAAATTATGACATTAAGATACTGATCTACTAGAAGACATTTACTTTTAATTCAGTTCTTTCAGTGAGAGTTTCTTATTGTCTATTGTACATACAGTCATTATTTGTTTAATGGACACTCAGCTAGGAGCTTTATACACTGAGTTTGACACTAAAGTGTGGAGTCTTGTGTTGGCCGCTGAGCTCTCCTCTCTTCATGTTTACGTTAATAACACTGTTCTTAACTCAAGAATAATTCAAAGGGGAAACATCATCACTGCTGTCCGGTGATTTTTATACTTGAAGAACTAAAAAGGTCTTCTGGATTAAAGTGTTAGGACTTATAGGCAAATGATACCGTTTGAAAAATGATTGTATATTTAAAAAAATGTATGGTTGTCAATAACTAATGTTGATTGCAGGAAGGTTTACACTCAGTTGATAAGAGGTTTTCACATGATATTTGCTGCATGAATGTCAGTAAGGGGAAGGAAGAGGTGAGTTGAGATGTTTTTAATGTGTGTTTGAGTTCTTTGTTTAACCTTTATTCAACTTTAACAGTGAATAATGCCAAAGGATTTGTTTTACATGACTGTAAGCTTCATATAATCTATTACAATTCAGGTTCTTGCAAATATCAAAACAGAACTTTTTCTTCTGAGGTACTTTTTGAGGTCTGTTATTTTTTCTTAGCAAAACAAAAAGAGTATTTTCTTCTTTTTTTTTTAAACTAATTGTGGTGCTTTGTTTCTTTACTCTCTCTGTAACAGTTGAACTGTTTGGGTAGTTTATTCAAAATTCAAATATCAAAACAAGTCATTTTAAAAGCCATCAACCTCCTGCATTTAGATTTCTCTCCATGTGTGAGCTCAGTAGTCCCATCCTAAATGCTCTGAAGCATAATCTGCACACACTTAACCCCGGTGGTTTAAGAACAAAAAACGTTATATTTGATTATCAGGCAGTGATGCCAGTGTTTTTTATTTGTTGTACGTTTTTGTCTGGAATAATTACACAGCAGACTATTAATTTATGATTGGTAACTCAATATTAAACGCAATCAATTTGATTAATGAATACATAATTTCATTTGCAACAGTAATTCATCAAGTTTTATTGCACACTTTTACAATGGCTGGGTAAATTCAACTATTAAATGGAGAATCTGTATGCGTGTGTATGAGTGAAGCCTCTTCACTTTATCAGTATTAGTAAGCCGTCCCCGTGATGGTTAGTCAGGGCTCTACATGTTAACCACATTTTCCTCTTTATTTGGCCCTACTGAGCATGTAGCAGTCACTGATTCACAACAGGGTGAACTTCTGTGTGTACTTGATGTCTTTACACCCTGAATGTACTCTGATAGCTTCTCGCCCTGCCAACACATCTGCTGTGCCTTGGAAGAATAAAAGACTAATAATGATGAATGGAGTCTGCCTCTAAATTCCCCTTCTGTAAGTCACTGATACCAGAATATAAAATGAGTTGTGAGTGTTGTGCGGTAGAAAGATTTGAGAAGCCGTTCAGTTCAGGTATGAAAGCCCATAAAGGACTTTGTTCAAATGATAGTGTAAACTTGAAAATGAAAATGTAATTCCACAAAATAAGGATCATTTCCCCCATATGTACGTGCCCTTTGAAGCCATGAGAAAATGGAAAAGCTGTTTAGGATGAATTGGAATTAACTAAGAATGCAGTATTTAATTAATTGGAGATTTCTCATTATTACTCAAAAAGCACACGTAAACAATAACTATGGTTAAATGACATGTTCTTTCAAATTTACATCATAAACTTAACCTTCCCAAATGCAGTCTATCATCATGCCAACAGCTCTGTGAAACTGTTCAAAGGCACACAGATGCTTTAAGCTAAATGCTACCATCCCTATGCTAACAGTTTACAATTAGTGTGTTAGCATGCTAGCATTTGCGAATTAGCCCTAAACAGACTGCAAAGCTGATAAAGTCATTCTTTTAGTAAACCAAAACTAGCCATACTGTGGATATGGCTAAAAGAGCACACATGAACACATCATTTTAAAGCTTTTTAAGATACACTGAAATACAGATTCAACTTCATACAGGAGCTTTGAGTAGTATTTTTCACGAGGACAATTGATTGTGCAAATCTTGTGCGAAATAAAGAAGTTGCATTCAGGATTAAGTGAGGATTTCTTTCAGGGGTACTGAATCACTAGCTTGTAGCCCATGCAGATATAGTTGTACTCAATAAGTCAAATGTACCTTAGATATAAAGATATATATTTTGTAATATACTTTCCCTTAGGGTCTGAGATATGCCGTTTGTGCTGTGACGTAGTACAAAAAGCACCTTAACCTACCTTACAAGGCCACATTAAAGAGTGAATGTGTGCAAAAATGCCTGCTTTAAAGACACACTGCAGTGACTCAGAACGTAGATATAATAGATTTTTCAAAAATGAAACATTGATGTATAAAACGTTCTACCTTTATATAATGTAAAAAGGTTTTTAAAGGCATGGCAGCTTACTCTCAGGCAACATGCGTGTAAGATTGTATAGGTGTGTTGATTTAGTGAGGAGCAAGGCGGTGCTTACGAGTGTCCCTTTTCAAATTCCCCTTTGGCAACACTCAGAAAGTGTTAAAAGAAAGAGCAGAAACAGTCCAAAAAGGAAGGAGGAATGGTTCATACAACGAGGCATATTAAACTCTGTATAAGCTAATAGCACTTCAAAACAGTCACATTATTAAGGCTTCCCTTACAGGCCAAATATACCATAGAGTTGTATATATGTAATGCCAGACACATAATAAATAACTGTTCTTAATACAAATGAGTCAGAGGATAAGACATTTTAGAGAGCTGATAAACTTGCCCCCTATTTGGCACATTGAATTGTTGACCTCTGACCCTGACAGTCATTATTCAGGTCCGCACCTGGAAATTTCCCGCTTTAGTCAGGTATTTGACGCCTTTAAACGGTTTGTACTTCTCTCCGTTCATTTCAAGACGGCTCACCTTAAGGCCTGTACAGAGAGGAGAGAAGTATAGTGAGCAATGAGGACTCTAATCTTGGCCTCAATAAAACAATAAGAGGTCTGTTTACCTGATATGGCCACCTGCTGAATCTTCAGGTCAATGTTGAGTGAGGGGTTGTCTTCAGGTTTTGGGGCCCCCGACTGCAGACTCAGACTGCCTCGCAAGTTGGGAAGCTTCTGGGGGTTCAGTTTTCCAATGTGCCAAACCAACACCTAATAAAACACAGACATACTCTTAGAAAGGACGATGAAAAGATTGTATTTTTGTCATCAGTTCTTTTTTCTCCACAACACCAGTTCTGATCCGACTGATCCCTCACACAACTTGTAAATAATACATTGAGAGTAATTTATACAGCAGTACTGTATACAGCTTTCATAACACATACATTTTTTCTAAAAGCTTATGAACCTTACATTAGCAACTTTCTATTTTTATATTTGATAAGGTATTCAAGAAAAACAAATTCTTTGTAAAACTTCAAGGTAACATGGGGGTAGCAATTCGTACACATATGATCATTTAAGTATTTCTTAAGGGTGGCCTTGTAAATACTTGGTTACCTTGGTAGCGAGGTCGTAGGTGTAGTTTCCCTGTGTGGCTGTGAGGTTGGCACTGAGCACAGCTTTAGGCATGTGGATGGTGACCATCAGCGCCTCCACTGTCTTCCCCATGGTCTGCTTGGGTCCTATTGTGATGTCCAGGCGACCACAAGGTCCCGTCTCAAAGAAGCAGATGTTTTGCTTCACGTACACCGGAATGGTCACGAGGCTGAGGAAGGGCACAGACAGAATTGACCATGATTACAATAAACAGCCAAGCTCAGCAGGCAGGCAGCAACTAGCTTGTGTTTACGACTAAACAGGTTAACAATTTTAAATCTTTATTGTGGAACATAAACTCGAGTTTTTCTCCACTTCTACCCAAAGAAATAGCACGACAAAGATTGTATTGTTGCAAGAAGATGTTGAGTTACAGAAAACATATTTACACAGATACTTTTTAAGACATGCATGTGTGTCTGTGTCTGTGCTTACTTTTGAGAGCTCACATGATAGTTCATGAGCGTGAAGTTCCCATCAGGCGGGATGAAGGAGAGGGCCCGCTCCGACTCCCAGCGCTTAAACCTCACACACGGGTGGAAACTCACGTCATCGAGAAGAGATGGATTCTATCATCAAAAACGTCAACAATGGCAAGTGAATTTTCCACTCACACAAGTAGACCACATAAGCACAGAAAAACAAAGAGCTGAAAGCAAAGAACACACCATAAAGGTCATAGACAGATCAGGCATCCCAGTGAGACGCACGGAGGCTTCAATTACTCCCTGGATCTCTGCAAACACCGTCGTTCCTGAAATATTGAAGAAGATGCAAGCATGTTTGAAGTAAGGATGCGCCCATTTGATATTAGCCAAAATCGTAAAAAAGTACAACTTGATGTGGTAGAGTGGGTATAGGCTACAATGAGTATTCAGTTATATTCAGTATTTTACACCGAAACCTATTTAGAAAAATCAGATCTAAACTTTGTTTGATCATTTTATGTTTGAAAAGTCCTGACCAATAAGAAATGCTGCTAAGAGATCTGTGTGTGAAAATTCATAAATCAAAAGCAACAGCAATATTGCCAAGCTTAGTCATTATATGGTTTTGTATTTAATCTTTTAGTGGAAAACAACGAGTTCACAGTTTGAGCATGATGAGGTTAAGCATAAGGTTAAGCAAGCTGCAGCTATTATTACAAAATGTATTAATAACAGTTTAGTTGTTTGAGAGAGGGGAACAATGTAACTTCTAACTGGTGCTTTATCTGTGGTGATCCAACAAGAGCTTGTTTGTACCTGATTTGTCCACAATGGCATCTATTTCCTCTATTACGTCAAAATATGCCTCATTATTGGTGTATTTAACACCAGCTCGCCTCCAGGGGATACTGGACAATTGACCTGTTGGTAGTTTATCTCCGACATTACTGCTTCCTGGAAAACAAAACAAAAAAAAGACAAAAAACATAAATGTACACATAAATACTGTAGATAATTAGACAGAGCGTATTACGGTTTAGCCTTTATAACAGAGTTAGGTGTCCTCTGTTTACCTGTGAGCGTATTGACCACTGATCGCAAGATGGTGGGAGGCCTGATCATCTCTTTGAGGACGTTGGACTCTGTTGCGAGGGGGAAGCCGTTGTCCAGCATCTCCTCCAACAACTCGTACACGGTCACTACATTGTCGTTGATTAGACTTTCAGAGCACTCTCCAAAGTAGTCCTGTCAACAAAAATACCTGTTACACTAAAGCACACAGTAGACAGCCATGGGATGATATGAAAATGCAGTGTCTCCATCATTCTGGCCAACACAACTTTGATTCACAATATTAAAATAAAATATGCTTAAAACTCTTACAATGGTATTAAAACATACTACAAATGACCTTCATTTTGAATCACAGATAGCAAATAGAATTTTTTAGTAGTGGTTTTTAGTCGTCGTTAGTAGTAGTTTTCTTTTAATGAATAATAATATGTTGGATAAGGTTATAGTCAAACACGATGTCCCCATAGCCCTGCATGATTGATTTATAGATAAGTAAATAATTCAATAATCAATACATAAAGAGTTTAATCACACCTGAATTGTGTCTGCCACTCTGTGCAGGAACTCAATGACAAACAGCGGAGGGACTTCAGTCTGGACGACAGACAGGAAGAAAAGCTTGTCTCTGTAAATGGAGATGAGGTAGTGGTGTGGGGTCTGCAGCACGGGGGGAACATTCTCCGGTTCAACTGCCTTCTCCTTTGCCTCGAAGAAGTAATCACACACACTCCTGCTGATGACACTCTTCCAGTGTTTCTCCAGGAAGATGTCTCCCGCGTGATTAATCAGGAACAGACTGTGGATCATCTCAGCTGAAACAATGACATGGTTGTTGTTTAGTAGAGGTCTGTTTTATTGAGTGGAACATAGATTCAGGATAACTTTTATTGACCAAGTATGTATGCGCATACAAGGAATCTGTCCTTAATGTTATTACACAGAGACAGTTATCGGGAAGATTAGACAGGACTGTTAAGTACAAGTTTGTGAGAAAAATAGGTGTTTATAGAACATACAAGATGCACTATACTATAACAATAGAAAACATATAACTTTTCTGAAACTTTAAACAATACAAATGGTGAAAAGGTTACTGAATAGATTGCCTCGACAGTTATTTCAGTATGGCACGAGTCCATATAGTGTAAACACAGCTAATATGTTAAATTATATATAGTTATACTTTTTTTAAAGGGTGCATCACAAAATTACAATACATAATAGGAGATCAAATCAGCAGTTTTACCCAAATGTTCTTTGTCAAATATTTGATTGTGCCCAAATCAAAACAGTGCAAATGTACGTGTGACGCAGTGTCTTTTGTTGTCAACATTTACCTACTGTCATACTATTTAACTAACTTAAACCTCAGGTAACTTCCCCAGCTGGTTAGCAAACAGGGATTGTCAACTTCGAGATTTTAACCATCTGTTTGTTTATCAAAAATAATGAAATAATCGTGAGGGTTAGAGGACTAGCAGCGACATAGCAGTATTAAACAGAGCATAATGTGTACAAAGTTTGAGATTGTTGGAAGTTTTACCTGCTAACTCCGGTGCCAAAGATATCAGTCAGTTGGTGCCAGGACGGCAGACTGGGTGAGCAGCCGAGGAGACGCCTGCAGATCTATGCACACGTTAACACAACTTAGTCACAAGTTCATATCAATAAACCACATGATAAAGATTCAAACACTATAAGCCAAGAAATACAATTAATTCCGGTCGGTTTAAATAGAGATAAACTCCTTTGTCGACCTGATTGATACTTTCAGATCAAAGTTTCGGACTTTTTAATCAGGCGACGTTTGCGGGCAGCTATTATTTAAGGTATTGTGATGCCCTGAGTGTTGTCTTTCAGGTGTTATTGCAGGTCCTTTATTTTCACATGCAACGTCCCAAGGCTAAACTTTTACCCTTATTGTCAGGTTTGGTTTCATATCAGAAATGCAACGAGCTATCATTTTATTCTCAGCCATAATAAACCAGACTGTAGAAAAAGTGTAAGATGTATATTTATATTTTAACTTCATTTGGAAAACATTTTACTCACAAATTCCTGGTAAAGCACTACCCAGTCTTAAATTGAGACTTGCTGGAGGAGAGTGCTAAAATGTACAAAGTAAAATGATAACCAATGCAATATAAGAAGAGCAAAGAAGAGATGCCTTTGTCAGACATATGTAGCCTATGCAACAGCAGGTTACTTTATCTAGTGTAAAGTGGGTTTTTAGAGGTTCTCTTTCCCTTTTCTTTATCTTGTGTTATTTTACTTGATTTGTCCTAAACATTTGATCAATTCTTACTATTGATTAATTATACTTCTTAATTTAGTGTTCATATGGATAATGTATATATTTGCAGTTAAATACAAATGGTGGATTGCGCCGATGGAACCACAAATCTGAAGAAGCTTTCAAGTCAGTGAAACCATCCGGATTAAGTACATTTTCTTATCATTCTTTATTTCATCGTCCGGTACATGAGACTACTTTCACTGATTTGTTATTTCATTATATCTTAGTAGTCAAAAGTGCCCAAAGACTTAATATACTGCAGTTCACTAACAATTGTGTAGGCCTAATGTTAGTAGGCTATATCGTATATGCACAAATATGCAGTGAAATAAAATCACATTTATTTAAATCAATTTGAGCTTTTTTCCTGAAATTGGCGTGTCATCTTTCATCTTTTCTGCATGGTACTGTTGGATCATTTTTGGGCACATATGTGTAAAAGTCCTTTCATAAGGAGTTTTAGGATTTTATGAATATTTTATGTGCTTTTAGTTTGCCAAAGAAATGGCCATCCACGTTTCCAGAAAAAACATAAATGTAAGGCTTTGATTGGTGGAGCTCAGTGATTGCGTCACGCATTGAGGGCTGCCTGCGAGACTGCACTCAGGTACCAAACATCCATTGCCTGCTGTTAGCACTTAGCACAACCGCGTTTCCACACCGGTCAATAAGGTGATAGCAACGTGCCCCCTCAACCATGGCCTCCGTCGAACTCAAAGCAAAGAAACGACTCTCAGAGGAGAAGAAGACAGAGTCTCCCACCAAAAAGACAGAGACCATGGCCTCCGACGCACCCAAAGCAAAGAAGGGAAGATTCTCAGAGGAGAAGAAGACAGAGTCTCCAAGCAAAAAGACAGAGTCTCCGAGCAAAAAGACAGAGACTCCGACCAAAAAGACGGAGTCTACTGACAAACTAAGGTGACCAAAAGTTAAGAATAAATAAGCTAAGAAACTGCATCTCGGGGGAGACATGACCCTCCTTACTTGGTTGAATGAATGCTAACGCGCGCAAATCTTATATACATAACAAAGTTAGTTAAAAGACTATAAATGAGTGCATTGAATGTGAGGCTAAACATTTCTTTATAATGTATCCGCGTGAAGCAGCAAGCAGGAGAGTTGTTCGCATCTGATAACCATTTTACAATCCTTTTATGATGATCTCTTAACGTGCCGCTACACAGCTAACTGTTAGCCAGCCAATTGTAACGTCAGATCAGGACACTGCTGTTGTCTAACACATCCTATAACTTTTGCAAGGGTGCCAATATCTAATCTTAAATTCAGCGTGACCACCACCTGCCCCTGCATGTTTATAAACTGCAGAAATAAACACTTGCACCGGTTTGGACACTGCGTTCATCTAGTGCCAAGGACTGGCTCCGCTGCTTGGTTTAGTAACTGATTACTGCAGAGAAAGCATGTCTATGTGACACCCTGTCCCAGCTCCCAAAACAATGACTTGCGAAGTAGTCACATGGCCGTAAATATGCAATGTTTTGGTGCTTTTCATATCGCAGTCCGGCACGATGCATCCCTCAGAAAACTGCGCTATTCAACTAATCTGAAACCCGCTCTTGTTATATCATTGTATATGTGTAGGCACTATCATCAGCACGCTTCTCACGATGTAATAGCTTTAAAAGAGTGAGTGGATTGAGGTTTGTCTGGAAGACGAGCCAATCAGCAGACAGATACGGGCTGTTCCGGCCCTTCCTCCTCCCGATGCCTCCAATCAGTGAGGCCCAAGGGGGAGGAGCTATGGTTGCAGGGGACAATCGATCTACCCGGGCACTGAGCTTAAAATTGTGAAGTTTTTGGATGCTTGGCTCTTTCTGAACCGGTTTTAGGTTGCTCAACAGGTCTGTCAGTATCTAACTGTTACACACAGAGAGACACCATGTCTTCTGCAAGGTAAGTTGCTTTATAGAGAATGTATGGCTGGCATGGGTTCTGGGTTGGTGTAACTGGTTGCAAAAGCCCAGTAATCTTGTGGCTGCATATTGGAAGATGTATGTGATGTAGGCAATGATAGGGTGTGGCATTTGTTTTGGTTAGCTGCATTTTCAGTTTTCCTTTGACCAAAAAAACGATCTGCGTAACTACATCTCTGTACATTATTATTCTCTCTCTACTTGTTAACAGAAACATTCTTAAATGTTGCTTATGCTTGTTTTTCTCAGGCTAGAAGGCAATGTTTGATTGGTAAATATGCTAGCATATGTTCATGCATATGTCAGGAGACTTGCTCCATGTGGGTTTTCCGGACACCGAGAGTGGACACTGGTAACATGAGTTTATATACTAAACACAGTCTCTTGATGCTTTTGAAGAGTATTGTGCATAGATCATTTAGCATTTGTTTTTATAAAAGCAAAAGTTGGAGACTAACCCACAGGCTAATTGGTTACTGATGTGTAAGACAAGTTCCAATGTCGCTGTTATACATTGACACAAAAGGAGAGAGTTGCTGTTTAATTTCAGGTTTTTTAACATATCAACGGACAATAATTTGCTATGAAAGCCAAGCCTTGTGTTCAGTTGTTTGCCCGAGGTGGAACAGCCTGATCAAACACAGAGACACACAGATTGCTATTCCATGCTGTCATGTTAAAGCCCATGCAGAGCCTTTTTATCTTTAACACTTTATTTTTACATTTCAGCCCTAATACACTCTTTGGGATGGGAAACCCCTTACTGGACATCTCTGCTGTGGTGGACAAAGACTTTCTGGACAAGTAAGTAAAAGATAACAAATATGACATTTGTTTCCTAGAGAAAGTGCTGTCATCAGGTAGTTCTGAAATCCTTAATAGTTATAATGGCAAAGCAATAATAGGAAACATTCTTCGTATTCTCTTTTATGCCATTGTTGAAATACATGTATATATTTTTAAAAGATTTAGATCCTTAGTCCGCACTTATCAGATCAAGGGCAATACAGAGGTCACTCCAATGAGAGACTGACATGGCCCCGTCCACACGGACACGAAACGGGTTGTATCTACTACAGTTCTCTATCGTATGGACGGTTCGTCCACACGAGGCCGTAACGGAACCGTCGAAACGGAGCCCTCAAACGGTAACGGGTCCCAAGGTGGGTAGGTCTGCGGACGTAATGCTCTGGGGGACTGTGACGAAGGTAACTTCGTCACTGTGGACTGACGGCTTCGGGCCTGGTAACTCAGCACTTTAGTGAACAGTTTGCACTTTATTAGCGTGATTGCACAGTACAGTTTGGCATTACATTATTTGCACATTTTACATAATTTATACTAATTATTGAGGTAGTATTTATTAACTGATTGGACCGTGTTGATTGGAATGTCGTCTGGTCGGTGCTGGTTGGGCCCTCGGCTCCGCCTGAGAAGATGGGGGAGTTGGCGAGAGCGCCGAGAGTATTTGTGCTGGTGTAGAAATGACAGCGGTTGAGAGTAATCAGGGTGCAAATAATATGTTGAGGGTGTATTTAGTGTTGTATGTAGTCTTGTTTTTAATTAGTGTGTGTGTATTTAGGCTCTGTGTTTCCTGTTTGTAATGTGGTGTGCTGAGAGTGGGGGTGAGATCCTTGTGGCTGGTGACTGTGCTCACGTGAACAGCGAGATTGAGGCTTTGTCATGTGCCCGTGAGTAATAAATGCCCACACCGGGTTGTATTTTGGACGTTCTGCCTCTGCCTCCTTGCTTGGTCGGGCCGCTCAACGGTCAGTCGCGCAGGGACCAAACGGCTCCGTGTGTACGTCCTATACGATCATTTCCTGATGACGACCACGCCATAGCCCCGCCTCTCCCCACCTCTCCTGCTCACCCCCGCGTCATTGCTGATGTGTTTTCGCCAACAACCTCTGCTGCTCACTACTGTAGCATGGTCAGTAGCTACTGTCTGCTACTGACCATGCTACAGATGTTAGTGCAAAATCTACAGCTCCTCTACCACAACCATCAGCAACAAGTGGACATGGCGAACTACATGAACTACATGTTGCTAAATCCTCTGCGGAGAATAAACAGAAGGGCAACCATGCTCGGGGGGTCTTCTTTACTGCTTTTGGTGTATTTTGTGGCGGAAGTACAGTGCCACTTACAGGCCCGGCATATGTACTACAGCGTCTCCAGCGGGTCGAGCGGTCTCGTGTGGACGGACACGCTTCTTGAGCCGATACCGTCTGGACGGAAGACTTTTTTGATATAGAATTCGGTTCGTTCTCCGTTTCGTCTCTGTGTAGATGCAGCCTTCAGGGATGCAAACTTGTCACCTTTCGGCGAAATTCGCCGTTTTGAATCCAAAATAGGTCGTTTGTGTGATTCATGTAGATCTGCAATAAAAATATTTTTGGGGTATGGGGGGGGGGTCTGGGACCCGGAGTAATCTGCGGCCGTGAGCTGTTATGTGCCATCATGACACGCATGGTGTTCTTTTTTTATATATTATAATGCAGCGCGAGCGGTGTGCTCGAGTCTTCCTGCCTGTCGGCTCTGCTCATGGATGTATAATAAGGCTCTGCTGCTCCGGGATGAGGGTCTAGCTTCAGCAGCTACATTACCTATGGGTGCGTTCGTTAATATTAACTGTGCGGTCCGGAGTCACTGTGGCACAGACTGGACCGCTGGTGAACAGCTGTTAGAACGGGCCGTTCAGGTGTTCACCTGTCGGAGCGGCAGAGCGTGATGTGCACTGAAAAGTATTTCTGTCGCAATATTATTTAAGGAATCGTTGAGCTAGCTAACTAGCATACAATGTCACTATCTGCTAACGTTAGCTTTAGCCTTCGTTTTCAAATACTTGAGTAAAAGTAGAAGTACCAGAGTGTAGGAATACTCTGTTACAGTAAAAGTCCTGCATTCAAAATGTTCCTCAAGTAAAAGTAGAAAAGTATTATCATCAAAATATAGTTAAAGTAGCGTAAAAGTAGTCATTGTGCAGACTGGTCCATTTCAGAATAATATGGAGTAAAAGTACACCATGTACCTCTGAACTGTAGTGGAGTAGAAGTACAAAGTAGCAAAACATTGAAATACTTAAATAAAGTACAAGTATCTCAAAATTGTACCCAAGTATAGTACTTGAGTTTATGAAATGAGTTACTTTACACCACTGGCTATAAAGATAGAAAGACTAAGCCTTGCACAGAGGCATGAAAATACATTTTCAAAATGCTCAACAGTCCTGCCAACATTATAAACTGACTGCTACACAATTAAAATAAATGCTTTTATACATTTCTATTAGATGTGACTCTTTGGCGTTTCTGTTATTAACTGCTTTAGTTGTTCTGACTTCTAAAATCCTCTGTTATTCCTCATTTTAAAGCCGATATTCCGTGGGGTCGGGGGGCTCGGATCCTTGTCACCTTTTTCATACCTGATGAGTTTGCATCCCTGAGCCTAAAAGAGATAGGTTTGACGACGTAATTTGATCAATGGAGATACAATCTAACGGTTATAAAAGAGAACAGCACAGAAAACAGATCTGTCTAATCGGCGTCAACAGATGCTTTCTTTAATATATCCATACATGAATGAGTCATACATTTCAGTGAGGTAATACATATTGGACTGTTCTAAAAAAACAAATGATGCCTCTCCCTGTTTCATCATGTTTACATATTTTTTTATTTTTTTACCATTGTAGTTCAATCACATTTTCTAATACTTAAAAGCAGATGGCAAAGGACAAAAAACCCTCCTTTTGAGTTTATGGTGCTCATGGTGCATGGAAAAAGGGAAAAAGGTGCGAGCCAAAGCATGTAGTTTCTGAGCAGCAGTTTGTTCTGGTCTGTCCGAGCTCTGTCACACTGAGCTGACCAGGGCAAAGGGCTCCTTTGGGTTGCAGCTCAGAATCCGCTCTCTAACCCCTTGCGTAAACTCCAGGATTAGAGCTAAACAAACCAACCCTAGTTCTAATTCAGTCTCATAGAATAAAGCTGCCCCTTAATCCCCAATTTACCTGTGGGTTTCGAGGAAACTAGACTCTGTTTAGCTTTATTGTCCAACAAATTGATGTGGACTAGGTGCACCTTAATTCACATTTTCCATTTTAGGGAACAAGCCAATTGGCAGCACCACCATTGTGTCTTCAATGCATACTATTCTGATTACTTAGAGAAACTAATGCCTCTTTTTTTCTCCTTTTTCTATTTGTAGGTACACTCTGAAACCCAATGACCAGATCCTGGCAGAGGACAAACACAAAGAACTGTTAGTATCTCCTGTATTGCAAAATGTCTCTTTGAAGTCAAGGTTGTGCTTTTTTCTAGTTTCTATAGGGAGAAAGGGAAAACGTCTGAATTCACATCAAGTTTGTTCCTGTCTGTTCTGGTGTGGACTAGTCAAAACAGGCGCACACCAGAAACCACCACCATTGACCTCCATATTTATAAAGACGTCCAATGGCAGCGCAGCAGATCCATCACAGACAGACAGTCTGAGCCAATAGCAAAGCAGGACACATCACCTCCCAGTCCCTCTGAGGCGAGAGCCAAAAAACAAACATTTGACAGCGGGAGATAAGAGAGCAGTGTGTGACTGTATGAGAGAGAGGACTGAAATGACTAAATCTACACAGGTTTTACATTATCAACAGTGCTTTCTTACAATGTAAGATTTACATATTTAGTCTATGAATAACATTTGATAAATATGAATAAAAAGAAAAGAGCTAACTTTTATTCGACCACTCAAGGCAGTTACATCCCTATATATTATTTATTTATTTAAGGGAAGATTATTACTCATGATTTCAACTTCCTGCCAGTCTTTTTCCTATTTGTTACAGTCCGCCCTTTCTTCTTCACTGTTCTGGGGTAAAGGGCTAACATGTTGGAGACTTGCCCTAGGGGTAAATACTTAAGTGACATAAAAGACTGAAAGCAATAAAGTACAGTGAGATAATAAAATCACCCCCACTCCATTTCTCCCCCTCTGCAGCCTCTGGCTCAGTCTCAGGACTTCTGACAGCAGTCGCTCTGTTCCTATGACATACATGGATGTTCACATAAATCACACAGGCAAATATCTGTCTGTAAGTTGATTTGGCTGCTATATTTAGACTGAATAACATGGCAAATTACACTTTAGCCCCAAGTGGACCATCAAAGCGCTGCTTGAATCATTGTGTTACGTAACAGGCGTAAATGATTCAAGTAGAATCAGAATCAGAAATGGTTTATTTATCCCCGGGGGAAAATGTTCTGTGTAATGAGTGTTCATTCATGCGTGTGCGTCATGGGCGTCGCAGCCATTATATGAGGGTGGGACAAGTCCCCCCCACTTTTTCAAATGATTAGTTTAGACCCCCCCACTTTTACTATGCGGAAAGTCCGTGAATCGGTCTATCCACTCGCTGCACTTTGTCGAGCGCTGTGTCAGTGCTTCACTATCAAATGAAATCCATTCCACTTGCTTATTGAGAGAATGCCCAAATCAATGAAACTCCGTTCCATGTTTTCACTGCTACTTTGTACCAAGGCAGATTCTCACATAGCGCGCGCATGTTCAAGGAGTGATGTCATAGTTGGACAGCTCAGATCTGTTGTATGAAGCGATGCTGGTAGCGGAGGTAAGGCACACACACCAAATGTTCAGGAAATGGTTAATACAGCGAAAATCAAAGCTGACGATCTCTTGGTTTGATATGTTTTCTCCCCCAGACAACATGGACATAAGAACATTTTTTTCAAAGAAGAGGAAAGTAAGTCATCAGCTGGTAGCAGTTAATCAGTTAACAGTGATGGCGGCGTCTCACTTCTGGAGAGGAGTTTCGTCTTTATGTCATGATAGAGAAATACAAATACTGAATAGTTTAGATGAGAAAAGGCATCGAAATGCCAGGTTACTAGTATTTATCAGTATTTATTATCACTTCACCACCTCTCTTGACATCTAGGCACTTGAGAGTGAGTCAGAGGCAGAATACAGGGACAGTGGAGAGAGGTCCATTGCTGAGGTGAGTGATGAAAGGGAAATGACAGTTGAGAGTAAATTGTGATGTGGACTCTCATCCCAGGATTTTAAGGAAATCAGTGGGGATCTTGAACAGGAAACATTTCAGTCAAGGGGCATCATATGACCAATATAGACAGAAGAGCAACATTTATTTGAACATTTAAGTCAATGATACCATTCCTAGGTGAACTTAACATCCGTATGGAGTCAGATCAGTCTCAATATTAATAAATGCTCACAGAAGGATTCACAAATGTATTTTGCGATTTATATATAAATGACTCTCCACAACAATATCTCTCAATGCACTCACAAATATTTATTGTTGTATATAAATGTACAAAAAATGGGCATTTAAACTGCTTTTTATTAATTCAAAGACAGCTCTCAATTAATAATCAAATATGTTTCCTTTCTTTACTACTGAAATTACAAAATGTACCCATCATTTTCGTCATGCTAGTATAGCCACATAAAAGTATCAAACCACCTGTTAAAATGCACCAGAATACAGGAAATCTATATTTTTTTTCGCCCCCACACCCCCGTTAAAAATGTCCCCCCCACATTCAGGATGCTTCCTACGCCCATGGTCTGTTGTACTTATGTGGAGGAAATATGGCTTCTGCATAGAGCACAACCAAGCTCTGGATAAGTTACTGGGTGTGAATCCACATCCATCCCCATGCACACCACAGAGGGACACTGTTAAAGCTACAACTGAGCAATCACATGCAAAACAGTATGATATTTAAAAAAAAAATCAAATTAAATAAGACTTAAAGGAATAGATTTTTTATTTTGAGAAATATAAGTATTTGATATATAACTGAGTGTTAGTTAAGAAGATAGATACCACTCATGTCCCCCATGAAGTATACAGCTACATCCAGAAGACACTTAGCTTAGCTTGGAAAAACATTAGAAAAATCTAGCTTGCATTTTGTCCAAAGTTTTAAAACATCCACCTAGTAGCACCTTTGAAACAAAATAATTTATGTTATATCTCATCTGTTTAATTTTGACAGAACAAACCTTTATGCTATGCTCAGCTAAGAATGTTTTTATGTTTGGTTTCAGCCATAATTGATACCTTGTGTGTGTGTGGTGAGGTTTGAAGCTTTGCATTTGTGAAGCACTTATCCAGCATTCCCAAAGAAAGGTGAACAAACTATACTTGACACTAGATCTTCTGGAGAAATAGAAATCATGTAACATCTTACAAATGCATCACCTGCTATGTTCGTCTGTGTTTCATAGATTTGAAGAGCTAGTGAAGAAGTCCAAAGTGGAGTACCACGCTGGAGGAGCCACACAGAACTCAATTAAGATCGCTCAGGTCAGTCAGTCGCACAAACTCACTTTCTGTCCTAAACATCAATGCTGCTTGAATTATTTCTGTAAATGTTGGCCACTGATAGTAGTGTTAGTTGACGGATGCTGATCAGAGCTGTTGTATCCTTCTATAGTGGATGATCCAGGAACCCCATAAGGTCGGCACGTTCTTTGGCTGCATTGGCAAAGACGACAAGTTTGGAGGGATCCTGAAGCAGAAGGCTGAGGAGGCTCACATCGACGCCCACTACTACGAGCAGGAGGAAAAGCCCACAGGGACCTGTGCTGCCTGCATCACCGGAGACAACAGGTGGGTCATTGTGAGTTTAGGGTCTGGGTAAAGTCTTTCAATATTTGAAATGACACTTTTTTTAAATCTCGACATTAAAAAATGTTTTGTTGATGCGGAGCAGACCAAAAGCTAAATGGACTGGAATAGGGGTGGAAAAAAGTGTTTTTCTGTTTCAATTGCTTGTGAAGTCAACAAAGTGACAAAATACATTGATTTCTTTGGATATCAAGGTACTCTGTAAAAGTTATTGCATTTATAGTAACAATCACTAATCTCGTATGTCCTCACTCATAATCTCTTTTTTTATTTTCCTCAGGTCTCTGGTAGCTAACCTAGCTGCTGCTGAGTGTTATAAGAAGGACAAGCATTTAGACCTGGAGGAAAACTGGGAGCTGGTGGAAAAAGCTAAAGTCTACTATATTGCAGTGAGTAGTAGTTACTATAGTACTATATGTGTGTTGTACACGTTTACTGTATTTCAGATCCCTTCAGGAACTGTCACCTCAACGTTGTACTCGTGGTAACACACAGGGGCATTTCTGAACTCCTGGTGAACTCTCTGTTCAACATGTGATTCATTAGAGCCCGTCAGGATATAAAAAGCAGATCAGTCTTGACCCAATGTCACCGTTTGCTCACAGGGTTTCTTCCTCACTGTCTCTTTGGAGTCCATCCTGAAAGTGGCAAAGCACGCGTCTGACAATAACAAACTGTTTTGCCTGAACCTCTCCGCGCCCTTCATCTGCCAGTTCTTCAAGGATAACCTCATGCAGGTTATGCCCTACGTCGACGTGCTGTTCGGCAATGAGACAGTAAGCCAGACATTACAGTCCATTCTTCAGATGCTCTCTAAATTAGCTGCCTGTGGTGTGAATACAAGCACACATTTCATTTTTGTAAATTACATTTTTTGTTTTTCAGGAGGCAGCAGCGTTCGCTAAAGAGCTTGACTTTGAGGTGAGTGGACTGACGGTCTCATTTAGCATTTGCAAATGATTATTGCTGCATTTTTAAATGTATTTGCATTAATTTATATTTTGCCCGTAGACCGAGGACATCAAGGAAATTGCCAAGAAAGCCCAGGCTTTGACCAAAGTCAACAAAAAGAGGCAGAGGATTGTAGTGTTGACTCAGGGGAAGGATAAAACTGCTATGGCCAGTAAGTTTCCTTTTTTGTCTTTATCCCCTTAAAGTTTTTATATTTTAATAACTTTTATCAGCTGATAATGACAACACACAATGGCACACCTAAGACATAGGTTAAGTTAATTAATGCTACACATTTTACTGAAAGGCTTTGAATAGTTCTTAATTTCCAGACTACAAGTGATATAGGTTCATGCTAACTGCCTTTTCTATTACTCAAAAACATGCCAAATTCAGAAGTAAACTGCATAAAAAAACACCGTAAATCTGGTATTTTGTGTGATTTTTAAATAAAAACTAATGACGCAAATGTGTCTGGAACAACAGTATGGCTGCTGTCCGTCAGTAATGTCTGTTCAACTTTGTTCCAAGTGCTGAATCGAATCAAAATCTAAGAAAATAAGATTGTCAATCTCACATAGATTTGTTTTCCCCTTTAACCTATTTTCTATTAGTTTCTTATCCTCTGTTAAAGTTTACCTACAGCCATACAATTGTCCTTCTGTCTGTTCAGGTGAGAAGGTCGAGACATTCCCTGTACTGAAGATTGACCCGAAGGACATTGTGGACACAATCGGTGCAGGTGATGCCTTTGTAGGAGGTAAGACTTCATCTGTTTTCATTTGATACATTTTTAGATTGCCTTTCTTTTTTCCCTGTTGTTGTGGATTTACCTTTACGTTGTTCTCCTCTCTGTTACAGGTTTCCTGTCTGGGTTAGTCCAGGAGAAACCTCTGGATCAGTGTGTGAAGGCGGCACACTACGCTGCTAACGTCATCATCAGACGAGCAGGGTGCACCTTCCCAGAAAAACCCGACTTCAAATGAGGAGTCCCGGATCCTTCAGTCCGTCAGCCTGAAATCACACACCCACCCTGCCGAAGATAACTGACCCATTCTTTCCACTATTTTCTACAAATACTTCCCCAAATTATTGTAGCCACATTTTTTAAATCTTCCGCACATAATTTCATCCGCACAAATATTTAGTTGGGTGCCTCCTGGCGTGTGCCTGTCCCTGTTCTCCACTTGGGGCCGCTAGAGGATCACGCAGCCAGGAGCCAATGGATAATTGTTTTATAGATAAATCACCTTTTAAGGAATCATGAAAATATCACATAATGTGATAATTTTATTTTACACAAAGGAACTTTGTGTAAACATTTTTGGATCAAACACTGCAAACGTCTGTACGCCTATCACACTGCTTTATTCCACAATGGGAGGACACCCTACACAAACGGGACTAATGAATCTAAATCTGTCAATGGAAGTTTGTATACTACATTGAAATGTGCAGTAGTGACTTATTTAAAATGAAATATTCCTGATTATGAGTTCGTTCTTGTTTTAAGATTTAATCTAACAGGCCAGTAATGAAACCAAGTGTTTTCATTTTGAAATGTGTCAAAGCCTCTGCCCACTATGACCTGTGATGACTTAAATATCAGCTTGATTGCGTACATTTTGTTCAGAAGGTACCTTCAACATCAAACTCGTGGAAGTTTTTTGGGCAGGTGCTTCTTGTAATGAGTGCCTTTTCCCCTTCCTTTCGCTGCATGTGTTACAGTGTTCAGAGGCCTATAGATGTTCTGTTAATCCACATTTCTTTGCACAGGGAAACTAGACCAGTGATGGGAGCTATACAGTGGCTTTTCACCCCTCAATACTTCAATTTCTCCCTGAGTTAGTGGCCTGTGTTCTTTCTGGGTGTCTGTTGATCTCTAGCTAAATCATAGAATATGTTACCAAACTTTAATACCGTCCATTTGATTTATTCAGATTTTGACATTTGTGTCACTGCAACTGGCAATGAAAGATGGAAAATAAATAAGGGAAACAAATCTGAAACATCAGCCAAATTCAGGCTCGGGCTACTCTTGTGATATTGGGACAAAACATTTCAATATTGTTTAAACCTAAGTTTGTGGTATGCGCAGCACTGAATCCTTGAATTGAAGTATCATGATCTTAAAATGTGATGAGGAGCAAGAAGTATGTTTTCTGAATACTACAAGAGTTGTTTTTAAACTTCATCTTATCTTTTAGTGTTGTCCCTTTGCCTCTTTTAAAATACAGACTTTTTTTATACCGGTAAACCAAAAAGCCTTATGTGACCATTTATTCCTGATCTCAATTGTACTCAAGTTGCCCATCTCTGTGCTAGAATGTGATGCTTGAAATTTACAAATTAAACATACAACAATAATTGTTTTGCCTATTGATATATTTTTTGACTACATTTATTTAATATCTAGCAACATTTAATCATTTAAAATTAGAATGAATTTAAATCCTTTATTTCTGCTGCCCAGAAAAAAACACATCCCTGAGCTTATCAAAAACTAAAATCGAAGTCTACAAATTATTATCTTTGCCCAAAGCTGTGTACATTTCATATAAATCGATCAAACTGTCTATAACTACTGATATTAGCTTTTTAAAAGGAAAACACACAGATGGCGTGTTAAATGTACTCATACGCTACAGGCTGATTGTTCGTACAAGAAACGTTTTCACCCATGACACAGTTGTGGAAAATATTTTTTTTTAATCATACAGTAGTTAAAGAAACCTGAAGAACATTTTTGATATTTTTGAGAGGGATTTAGAAGACACATTTAAGTAGTAAACACATATTATCTGTCATTCCGTTATCTTTGTGAGCTATTGTTGTTGCATGTCTCTTTTTTGTGCCAGCCTCTCCTCTTGTAACCTGATGTCCAGGGCTCTGAGCTGTTTCAGGAAGCCGTGGTTTGGCAGGATGCAGCGCCGCTGCTTCACATGCTCCACCGCATCCACCACCGTTAGGCTCTGCTTCATCATCAGGTAGGCCAAGACCAGAGCCGCTGACCTGCTGCGACCCATCACACAGTGCACCAGAACCTTGTCTGGGACAAAGCAAGAGGACAGATGGATTTGTTAGAAACATAGTGAAGTATACAAGCCTCTTATCCAGAGAATGATCAATGAAGGGCTTTGCGTAACACTTTCTATGATGCCCATAAGATCTGGGAGATGATTCAATATCAACATTCTCAATGTTTCAATGGAATCATATTGTGAAATACAGTATAACATGGTACACTACACACTATTGTGTAATTTTTATTTTTGTATCTTTAATATTTTCTGTATGCATGCTTCTTGGGAAATATTAAGCTGTCTTTGGCTCTTTTCTTGCTGTAACTACATTGGAAATGTCCCCTCTGTGGGACGAATAAAGGTATTCTCAGTCTGAATAAGCTCAATCTATTGATAATAACAAGCACATACTAACTCAAATGTCTCTGATCTGTAATATTATGAAGCAATCACCAAAGTTGTGGATTTCATTTGACATCCCACTTAAAAAACATACAAAAATAGGCTTTTATACTCTGATACAGACCTTTTATTTATTGACTGATGATTGTTATTCAGATATAAAATTATCTATATTAAGATTGGACAAGCCCAACCTTAATGCCCTGGTCTGGAATGCATCTTGAATATTCTGATAATGTGTTATGATCTGCTTATAGCCTTGTTTAATTTTATAAGCACTCATAAATATTTGTAAATGTTTTCTAACAATAATCAGAACACATTTTTATAATGACTTGTAAGGTCATATATCATAATACTGATAACACAACTATGCTTAGGCACTATAGACGTTGATATAATTGAAAGGGTATCTTTTATTTAATTTTTTCAGGACTCACTCTGCGGCTGAATGAGGGCTTCGTGGATGAACTGTGTTGAGGGGCAGAAGTACTGGGACATGTTGAAGGTGGGTTTGTCATCAGCCTCCACACCGAAGTACTGTATTTCCATGTCAGTGTAGTAATCAGCACCAGTCAGCACGTTATTAAACTTTCCCTCTGCTGCATTGAGGACATGTGTAACACCCAGGTCCCTGAGGCTGGGCCGCTCCAGAGCTGTTTTCCTGTTCCCATGAAACAGAGATCATGAGGCTGTCATCAATAGAGTCATAAAACCATCTCTGTGTGTGTTCACTCACTCGTCCCCGATGAAGATTCTGGGCCACACCAGGTTAACGTGTGCATACTGAGCCCCAGTGCCGGTCCAGAACAGCTGCTCCAGGTCTAAAGTCCCCGGGGTGATGTAGTCACTGTCTGGGTCGACCCGCACCGCCGCGTACGGGTTCCTGCCTCTGGACCTCACCTCACAGGAGGACATAGCTCACCTCTGCTGCCCAGAAACACACACACACAGTCCTGAACTTCACCAAAAACACACATTCTTATCTTCACACTTAAATGTGTCCATGTAACTTATACATAAGTAGGCTAAGTTATACAGTCTTTAATGCACATAATTCTCAGATTGAGTAGCTTAGAGTAAACAGTGAATGGTGTCCCAGAATGAACTGAAGCTGATCAGGTGTGTTATATACTCATGATATTGGCTGTTAAAAGAGGAAAATACACTGATGGTGTGTTCAATGTTCTCATACAGGGTGATTGTTGTAAAAAAGTACTGGTAGAAAGTAAATTACTTACCTCTTTCTTGTAACTTTTTAAAGCTTTAAATCCGTTACTGAGCAGGATTGCAGACCAGCACCCTCAACTCTTCCACAGCTGACATGTATTCATTAGTTGTGTGAGTGTGAGGCAACAGAGAGAAATACAGACTGGAATAGTAACTGCTCTCTTGGGCTCTGTGTTTAAGATGATATTTTTAGGCAGCTGGGCGACAACACCTGACCTCAACAGTGTGACACACACACACACACACACACACACACACACACACACACACACACACACACACACACACACACACACACACACACACACACACACACACACACACACACACACACACACACACACACACACACACACACACACGTAACTTGTGTGTGGACAGGTGTGGGGACAGTTCAAACTTAAATTCAGTTGTTAAATTCTACTAATTCTTGTTGGGGCTGAGCGATAATGTAATTGACTGAGACTTTGTCTGATTCCTTCAAACTGTGCAAACCCTTTTAGAATATTTGAACTCTTATATTTCTCAATTGTCAATTGTATTATTTTGGGTGCTTTTCATTTAAACATTTCTTTATTTTTTGTAGAGATATTTATTTATCTCAGCAAAAAATATATCAATCAATTACATATATTCAAACTAATTAAGATCATAATAAATACATTAAAAAAGATACATATCAAATATAAATGAGGATAACAGTTTTAATAAACCAAAGTTAGAAGAAAATGCGTTATTGTTGTTAGTGAAAAATTAAAGTAATGCTTAAAGACAAAACAAGAAACAAGATATAACATTTGGTTAAAAGGAGAGAGAGTGGGTGTAATTTTTCAATATCTTGTTATACCCGCATGTAAAGAAGGAATTACATTAAGCTTGTTGACCGCATTTGCAGACTGACCACTGTCTGTGAACTGTGCAAAAGGGTTTCAGACAGGTTGGAGGTTGAACTCCAGATGGTCTGTGGCTTCAACACCGTGACATTTGCCCCTCAAGGTCATTGTAGAACTGCTGACCTGTGTTGATACGTTGCTGACCTAATGTATGAGATATGTGAGTTACACCCATAGACCAGAGTGTGGCTTTATCTCGCAGACCTGCAGACACACCTCACACAACCTGATTCATTGTAATATATTTACATTTCAAACTGCTGGTGGTGATATACCATATCACTCATCTCTGATGGACAGGCTCAACTTGATTGACACTTGCTGCTGGCTTCCTGAAATTGCATCACTTCTGTCAGAGATGTGTGCATAATGTTGATGTGTCTTTACAGTGTTTCAGCCTGCCGTCGGCTTCTCCTCTCTCTCTCTCCAGGCCCATGTGGAGGCTGCAGAGCTGCATCAGGAAGCCTTGGTTGGGACAGACGTCTCTGTGCGGCCTGACAGCAGCCACTGCCTCCTGCAGGCTCAGGCCTTCAGCGATCATCAGGAAGGCCAGCACCAACGTGGCAGAGCGGCTCACGCCCATCAGACAGTGGACAAACACCCGTCCTGGGATAGTAATGTTTGCCGTTAATTCTTTCATCACTATATATCCAATCCAATCCAATCCACTTTATTTCTATAGCACATTTTAAAAACAGAGGGTTTGCAAAAGTGCTTCACAACGAACATAACATTATAACTAAATATAATATTACAAGAATAGATAAAAGGCACACATAAGAATAGATAAAAGGCACTCATAAGAATAAATACAAGGCACATAAAGGCTATGGACAGACAATAAAAGCATACAAATAGGTAGAGCATAGCTCAGACTGACTCGAAAGCGAGGGAAAAGAGGTGGGACTTAAAAGTTTGTAGAGTGGGCGACAATTTAACATTGGGGGGCAGGTCGTTCCAAAGCCTGGGGGCTACCGCTGAGAAGGCTCGGTCTCCCTGGTCTTTTTCTTGGTTTTAGGGACTACCAGCCGCAGCTAATCAGCCGACCTCAAAGCCCTTGAGGGGGTGTACACCTGTAGCAGGTCGGAGATGTACTGAGGGGCCAGCCCATTAAGCGATTTAAAAACAAACAATACAATCTTAAAAATAACTCTAAAATGGACAGGAAGTCAGTGGATATATGCAGCACATTTTTTACTTTATGAGGTGCACAAGTAGAAATTACTTCTACAGCCCCGCACCGTGACATGAAAGCTCATCATGTGAAGTGTGTGTTGACAGATATGTGTGAATTCCATTGTTTGTTACTGAGCTCATAGTAAAACGGGGTGTTGTACTGGAAAACATGAATAAGGTGTTCTTGTTGTCATCCCTTGTTGACATCAGTCAGGGGGACAGAATATTAGAAACACCTCTCATTATAATGAAGTACAATACCCTCATTTATGACTAAAATTAGACTTAATGGCAGAACAGTTGTATTTCATTGATTTAGATGTACAGGGGTACCTGAAGTAGCCAATGAGTGTGGATCTTATCACACACACTAACATGACTGTAAGTGTGACTGACTTGCCTCCCATGGTTAGAGCCGCTCGGATGTATTGTGCTGTTGGGTAAAAGAACGGACTGAGCATGAACTCTATTGCATCATCCGCCTCCACACCGTCCATAACAATCCACTGTCATGTATCTGTAGAAATGTGGGCCGGCGTTATACCCAGACTGTGGAAGGTGCTCTTGTCACGAGCAGCCACCCTGAAACACAATTACACATTCACTGCTGTATGGATCAGATATGTTTGTATTGACACGTGTGTGTGAACCTACTCGTTTCCTATGTAGAGGTTAGGCCAGACTTCATTGACATGTCCTGTCGGTCGTCTGTTTGCCAGCAGGAATTCCTGCAGTGCTGAGACAGAAGGAGGTTCATACGGAGGATCTCTAACATACTGACACAAACACACACACAAAGAAGCATATACAAGACGTCACTGTGTTTAATTATATACAAAGTTCCCTTGTCACTGCTGTGTTTCATAGCAATATTCCTCTCACATTTAACCTTTTTTAGAAACCATAATGAATATAATTATCTGTAGTTTAAAAGCCATACATTCTGTACAGACAAGCCTAACAATCCCCAAACTAACCTGTTTTCAGTCTGAGTCATCCTGTATGAACTCACCTACCTTCGGGGCAGGGCAAACTCTTTTCCTAGCTTGTTCTTATTTCTCAATAAACACTCACACTCACATATGACTGCTTCCTTTTATAACTCTGTAATCATACACTCATTGGTGGCATAACATCCCGCATCTATCAGCAGTTCAACTCCCAAAAAACCCACATCTAAAGCATTCTGATAGTCTGATTCTTATGGTCAACAATGTAGCACTATCCTGTGAACTTTGACATTAGCTCACTGGCTCAGTTTCCATTACTGCAGACTGTTATGTAACACATACCGGTGTGTCTCTATGTTGCAGAGTAACGCCAGCTGCTCTGCTTCTTTAAGAAATATGATCCATGCTGTGAATAACAGTCCCCAGTGACGTATTTACTTCAGCTGCATTTGTGTTTACATCATGCAGAATTATTTACCATAAATAAGGAAAAGTAGGTTATGCTTATTGCATTTTGGCATTTGGTTTACATAACCTAAGGATATATAAGTTCAGGTATAGCAGTGTCTTTACTCTTTAAGATGAATATAAACTACAACAGTGACATTAACATGAAGTTAACTGCACATTAATTCTTCAAGGCACTTTTTCCATATTAAAACCAGCCAGAATATTTCAATTAAATAACACAAAATGTCTTTAATTCATATTCACACTGAGTCATAAAGCTATATTTACAAAGCTTGTGTACATGCAGAACAACTCTGGCAGGGAACATTTGAATACAGTTTGAATATGAAAATAATACAAAGAGAATAAATACACTTTTTACAACACATGATCATTGCTGCTGTAGCCAGAAGTTAAACCTGTGCATGAAAAGTAACTTTAAAAGTCAAAAGGAGTATTATTTACAGATATTTTCCGTGTGTGTAACTCATGGGAATAGAGGTCTAATGTGATGAGGGAGGAGAAGAAAGAGAGGGAGAGGTGTCATAAAAGAGGACACAACCTCCGTTTGAATGTCAGCTGTTGATCCAGTTTGAGGAGCAAAGACAGAAAGTTCTTGTTTGGATAAATGGGTCGCTTTTGGACGATGTGTTTCAGAGCATCTCTCAGAATGAAACGCTGCCGCAACATTAAGTAAGCCAGGACCAATGTGGCTGATCGACTCATTCCCATGATGCAATGCACCAGCACTTTTCCTGTAGGAAGGAGAATGTGAAAGGAAATATTATTTTTACAACAGCATAATAAACCCTTGACATGGGACAATAATGCGTGACACATTCATACACTGTACCATCTTTGCTCTTCAGGGCTTTATGTATGAAGTCAGCTGCAGGTTTGAAGTTCTCACTGAGGTCGAAGCGGTCTGAATCCTCTGCTGGGATGCCAAAGTAAACGCAGGAGTCCCCATAAAAACTCTGGTCACCGATGCTGCCCTGCTTGGAGTGTGTTGCGTTCAGGACATGAGTGATGCCGAGCTTATTTAATGTCTTTCTATTCTGTGCCACCGCACTGGAAAACACACAAAACAGTCACATCAGGGAAAGAGTATCATCAAATGATGTTAGGATGCAGATACGCAGATTTGAAACTTTAACAAGCTAATAAAACGGGTACATTTTCTCCTGCAGAGCTGTGTAAGGTGTCCACAACATACTCTAAACACACAGGACTCACACATTTCCTATGTACAGGTTGGGCCAGACTTCATCCACTGGTGTGAGCTCCAGTGTGCAGGAATCCAAGATGAGCTCTAGTTCTTTAATGAGCACCAGGTCCTGTGGCTGACTGCTCCCTGACATTCTCCCCTCACACAGACAGCTCCTCCAGCAGAGTGTGTGTGTCCGCCGTGCCCTCAGCAGCAGTGAGTGTGCAGCTCAGTGAAAGACGACAGCAGGTGGCTGTTTGAATGCCTGCTTGCATCCAAAATTAGCTCCCTGTGTTCAGGGAGTTCTCTCTGAGTGCATGTAGTTATTATTGTTGCTGTTGCATTGATTGGTCTGTTCACTGCTGCCAAAGGTCTAGCTGGAAAAGACAGGGACTTTCTCTGTTCCTAGGCAGAGGTCGCATCAGGAGAGGACAAGGGAGGGGAGGGATGTACACAGTTGAACTGGTGAGTGTATACTTACAGTACATGGTACAAATGGAGACAGTCTTGCATTGTGTGAATGAGAACAGGGACTTCTGCAGACTAATGGAGGACAATTCTTTAGATTTATAACTATGGGTTGCTCTGCACTTTGTTTTATTTTGGCTCATTCAACCCTTCGTCCTGCAGTTTTTGGAGTAGGGCTATAAGCTGTCGTAAAAAGCCTCTGTTTGAGAAAATCCAGCGTTTCTGTTGCACACAGCGTGTAGAGGACAGAAGACTGAGGTGGTGATGAATCATCAGGTAGGCTAGGACTAATGCAGCTGAGCGACTCACACCCACAGCACAGTGCACAAACACCTTGCCTGGACGTCATAAAGACACAAACAAATAAATGTCATGTAACCACAGCCAGTGTGTGGTGTCACTTGACAATATGTCTGCAGGACACACCAATACCATCATTCATCAGCTAAAAGCTTGATAAATATGCAAATGGTTGATATGTTTGCATCACTCACCAGCCAAAAAACTAAAGAACAAAAGCATCTAGTGAGTGAAAGGTCAAATATAAACATTCACAAGCCATTTGAGCAGTGGGCAAAAAGTCAAAGTTGCACACGTGTGGCAGCTTACAATACCTCCAGATGTCAAAGCCTGGTGTATGAACTCAGAAGCAGGGTAATCACTGACTTTACAGCACAGTTTTCCATGTGCTGCGTTCAGCACATAAGTGATGCCCAGCTGCCAGAGGCCGAGCTTGTCATGAGACATAAACCTGAAAAAAACAAACACATTAAATGCACAATTTTAGCCACATGTTGATTTAAATAAAACACAGGATACTCACATGTCCCCCAGGTACAGATTTGGCCACACCTCATCTCCGTGGCGACAGGAGCGTGGAGCTGAATGTAAAACCTCCTCCAGCTCCTGCAGAGTCGGGGTCTTCCAAGTCCTCTTTTGATCCTCTGTCCCACATTTTTCATCCCTTTCTAGGTCAGAGTCTTTACAGCTCGCCTCACAAATTGGTTCTGCCATTTCTAAACTTTAAAGGGTGTAATCTTCTCTGTTATTTTCCTCAAACTAAGTCCTGCTGCTGTGTGTTGCCTCTGTGTTGGCTGCTGCAGCCTCTGACTTTCATAAACAGGTGGTGAAAGTTTGGCACAGACTCTCAGTCACACTCACACTTGTGAAAATGTGGTTATATTTACATAACTTGTTTAAAAACCACTGCTGTCAAATTCAAACCAAATAGTGCATGACATCTGCTTTTCCCCCCTTTTAAATCTAGAGAAACACTACCTGCAAACAGATCCTAGTTTACCTAAAAGTGTCCAGCAGATGTCAGTGTGCTTTGATCAGCAGCTCAGCATGAGCCCAGCAGCTCTTCTTTACTGGTGTTGTTTATTAATGTCTCTTCCTGTTTGGGGTTGCTTAGTTGTCAGAAGCATGTTGGCCATGGAAAACTTGGCTCTTCTACTTCTTCTGCCAGCACAGTGACACTGGATTTATGGTAAGAGATAACTACTGTTTATTTTGTAAAAGAAGTTTGAAACTACTAGAGTACATCCTGCTACTTGTTTGTTTCTGGTTTGGCTATGTGTCTCTCTACTTTTGTTTTGAAAAAAGTGTTTAAACTTTGCCACACAACCAATAAAAAGGGATTTCATCGCTCCAATTTGATTTAATGCTGAAATGAAGCGTTGTTTTTGGGTTCTGTGGTAAAAAGACTATGAGCCCTTTGTCAGATAGTGTCTCTCTCTTTCTCTCTCACACACACACACACACACACACACACACACACACACACACACACACACACACACACACACACACACACACACACACACACACACACACAAACACTGAAGGGCTTTCTCTGTCACAGCTGTGTGTCACTGCTCACTGACTCACTGTAAGTCAGCTAAACAAGCTGACATGGCACTTGTGAATCCCCAAGTAAAGCCTCGGGCAGAGAACCCAGCTATGTTGCCAGTTAAATCTAGGGGCCAGTTAAAAATAACCTATTTCTCTCAGAGGGAACGGAGCAGAAGCTACCCAGGTGAGTTGCTTTAGGTTTCAGACATGTAAATATCACATATTAATCAGCTGATGATATGTTTTTAGTCGTCCGGCTTGGATCCCTCACTCACAGTCAGACACTATTTGATATAATGGTATACAACACAGTTTATTCATTAAGTCATTGACGAAAATCTAAGTTCCTGCTACTTTCAAAAGAGGATGTTGCTATCAATAGTCTAATGTCATATCAGGTGTGACTGGTAATCTTAGGGTGATACTCTTTCTCAGAAAACATGAGTAATGTGGGAGTGACAAGAGAAACTGTCATTGATTATTAGACTCAAACACATTCAAGTAAGTGTTTCCCTCAACTCATATTATATCCTTTAAGACTACAATATAACTTTAAGCTGTGTGATGTTCCTAAAGTCCTAACATTTTATCTGATATTGTTGGTCTTTTCAAGTTTATTTTATTTTATCATTCCAGCTTTTGAAATAAAAGGATCAGGGCTGAAACCAGCAACTATTTCATTTGATAATTAATCAAATTTTAATTTTGATTTATCTATATATCCGTTTACTATAATTTAAGACAACAAAAAGCATCGAATTCTTGCATTGGAAAATCTGAAAACATCAAATTTTGAATGTTTTACTCAATCTATGATCAAAAATAGTTTTTCATTCATATGGTAATCAATGAATTAACTAATTGTTACATCTTAAGTGATGAAAGGCTGTTCTTCTTGTTTTACATTACATCAAACTGAATATTTTGATATTTTGGACTCCTGCTTGGCGAAAAAAGAAATCAATTTAAAGACATCACTTCAAGGTTTAGGAAATTGTAAAAAATAATTCACAATTTTCTGATGTTTGACACTGTATACTGTGTAATACTGAGACCCCGTTATGTATGAGATATAGATATCTCAGCATTTTAGTTCTAAAAAGGACATCTAGTGCTGCTTCGTGTATTACTGATAACTGAAAGCTGCTTACATGGTAATTTTAAGTCTGTATCAGCAGTACAGTCAGCATCTAGACTATCGCTCACGTTCGGTGCGGATGTGTTGGTGGAGCTTGCAGACCTTTGGAGCAGGCATGAGGACAGGGCGCTGCAGAGAGCTTATCAAAGGGTCAAAGGGCAGGAACGGGGAAAAGACAAAGCAAAGAAGAATTTTTCATCAGTATCTAAATCTGTCTGAGGGAGAGCAACTCACTGATCTTCTTGTGTTGTGGATGGTTAGTGGCTGTTTTCTTATGCATTGAAACCTTTAACAGAGAGGATATCCATACTCAAGATTGAATTCCTGTTGGTTTGTTTTTGTTTGAGACATGATGTGAAACATGGGACTACCTTACGTGGATCAGGGTTTCATTAAGTATACTTAGGCTGTGAGTCACTCCTCTGCTGTACAGTAACAGATGTGAACACGTGTATTACTGTGTTGGTGTATTCACGCTCAGAAGCCGGCAGCGTGTAGAGCTAACAGCAAATAACTGCATCCAGATCTGTCATAGATTAACATTCCTGCCACATGCATGCCTTCAGAGCATGCATTAGAGACTGTGTTATAGTGCTGATCAGTCATTTATAAAGCAAAGGTGCATTTTGTGTGTTTTCACTCATAAAATTAAATATTAAGATGTGATGCTTTTATATAATTTGGGATGAAAACCAACAATTATATTTATTATCATATAATCATTTAGTCATTGAACGGACAAGAAATGGTTAACAAGTCCAAAATCTGTTAAATTATATTTTGTCTGACCAACAGTCCTAAAATGAAAGACCAATAGATATATTTCTGCCAGAAGAATGAATGAAAGTAGCAATTGTTATTGTCATTTGATTATTTGATTGAAAGAAGATTATGAATCAACTATCTTGATAAAACGATGAATCATTTAATCTTTTTTTCAAGCAAAGATGCCAGCTGGTTCCTGATCTTTCAGTGTGAGGGTTTGCTCTGCTTTTTGCTGTTTTATATCGCCTTTTTAATCAAGACCCGACATTTGAAGATGTCACCTTCTGAATGGACTGTGTGGCTATTTATTGACGTTTAAAAGATCAAACAACTCATTCGTTATTAAATCCAGAAAACAATTAGCAGATTAATCAAGAATTAAAATAATAATTTGTCACAATTCTGGCTCATTCAAGGCAATAATACATAGTGTGATCAATAGGATGCAAATGAAAAAGTAATGTCAATTGGTGACTGTCAGGCTGTTTTGCATTCAAATGTTTTTCAATAATCATACAGCCCTACCTGACTAACGCCTCTACGTGTCTTTATCTGCAGTGGCATGGAAGTGTTAGAGGACAGTGTGAGTGCCTGGAGCTGTAAGCAGGTGGCCCAGTGGCTGCAGGAACGAGGCTTTGGGGAGTATGTGGAGTTGTTGTGTGGCCAGCACCGCCTGGATGGGCCCAGCCTGCTGGCTCTGACTGAGGCCGACCTGCGGGGGCCTCCGCTGGGCCTCACCGTGCTGGGAGACATCAAGCGGCTCACCATAGCCCTCCACCGGCTCCAGAGACAGAACCAGGCGCAGCTGGAGGAGCTGGGTCTCCGTCCTGCAGACAGCTCCCCTGCTGAGCAATTGCTGGGCACCGCAGGGAGGGAGTGGAGCTGCGATGGAGCTGACAGGAGGTGTAATGGAGGGGATCGCTTTTATAATGGGACAGAGCTGAGGCTGAGGAACGGTGACAGATCTGCGTTATGCTCAGCATCTACGGCTCACACACACTATAACGGGAGGTGTAGGCAGCACCTGTCGGGCAGGCTGGACCCAGAGGTGTGGAAGACGACCGTCAGCTCCATATACGTCTTTTTCGTGTTTGGATTCACATCTTTCATCATGGTCATCGTACATGAGCGAGTCCCGGACATGAGGACGTACCCCCCACTCCCTGACATATTTCTGGACAGGTATAAGAGCAAGTCCATAGATCATGTTCACTTTTCCTGCATCATATCTAATCTGCATGCTAATACACTTGTTTTCTATCTCTGACAGTGTTCCCAGAATCCCTTGGGCTTTTGCAATGGCTGAAGCCTGTGGCGTCATCCTGTGTTACATGTTTATATTGATCCTACTCCTCCACAGACACAGGTAGTCCACTGTTCCCGTTTTCCATCACTGATGCACTGTGTGTTATAATACACATAATGATATATACCTGATCAAATACAGTGTGTTTGCAATGCAAATATATATTTGGGCATGTAATGAGTATGTGTCTCTATTTCAGGTCCATCCTCTTCAGACGGCTGTGTTCTCTGATGGGAACTGTGTTTTTGCTTCGTTGTTGCACCATGTTTGTCACCTCGCTCTCCGTGCCTGGGCAGCACCTGAAGTGTGTCAGTAAGGTGGGAAGCAGTATGAGATTATGTGCAGATTAGATTAAATGTGCCATTTTCAGCTGTTGTTGCTAATTGGCAGCCTTACAGTTTGTTCTGAACACATCATTCCCACTGTGATAACTGCCTCTGTGTTTCACACCATGAATGTTATCTTTCTGCTCCTCAGACGTACGGTGATATCTGGGGAAAGATGCAAAGGGCACTATTGATCTGGAGTGGCTTTGGGATGACTCTGACAGGCGTCCAAACTTGTGGAGACTACATGTTCAGTGGACACACCGTTGTCATCACATTGCTCAACTTTTTTGTAACTGAATGTGAGTGATATTGCTTTTATTTAGTATAGTACAGCTGCATTTGTTAAATTATAAAGCTGACATTTTTATATAGTTTACCATTGTCAACAAATCCTGTAAAAAGATCTAAACCAACAACATTACTCAAACTGGAGTAAATAGTGCATTTGCTGGGCACTATATTGCATTTAGTGTAGAAGTATGACATTACTAGGAATGAACACGTCACATGGTGCATACATTTTAAATATATTTGTTGAGATATGTGGCAAATAGTAATACGCCGTCAATTGTGTGAGTAAAAAGTGATTTTGTTTTGGACTACTTTAAATCATGGATTAGATATGTTTTGGTGTGAGAGTCAGTTTTTCCACCAGCAGGAGTGTTTCATCAAGATTGTTTTACCATAAATTACACTGCTGGTGATCAGCTTAAGCTTCATCTTTACTTCACAAATAACACTTGTTAGTAGAATAATTTCACTGTTGGTTTTGGTCTTTTCATGGGATTTGTAGAAAAATGTGAATACCACTATATTTATCCTTTAATAACTGCTTTCCCTTGCAGACACTCCACGATCTTGGAATCTTATCCACACCATCTCCTGGGTGTTAAACCTGTTTGGGATTTTCTTCATCCTGGCGGCTCACGAGCACTACTCCATCGACGTGTTTATCGCCTTCTACATCACCACCCGCCTCTTCCTCTATTACCATACCTTAGCAAACACCCGCGCCTTCCAGCACAGCCGGAGAGCGCGCATATGGTTCCCCATGTTCTCCTTCTTCGAGTGCAATGTGAACGGACCTGTGCCCAACCAGTACCACTGGCCCTTCAGCAAACCTGCCTTCATGAAATCTATGATCGGATAGAGTTCCAAAGTGCAGCTGCAGCAATGAACACAGACAGTTATATTAAAGCCTGAAGGAGAAACTTTTATTTAAAATGCTGCTTCCTATCTTGATGTGGGAGTTTTTTTCCCTCATTTCTATAACTGAATGATTTTTATTTTGTAACTAATCTTATACTAGTTTGACATTTTTGGAATATGCCTATGCTTTCTTGTTTTTTTAGCTAAATAAGATGACAGCATATGGTTATCTTAGTTTAGCATAAATACTGGAGCTGGATTATAGGGCCTATAGGTACGGATGGTTTTGTTTATTTTTGCTTTGATTAATCACTTTTATCGATCATGTTCCACTTTGGGAAGGTTTAAGGTTCACTGGTGCTGTTGGCTTCACTCAACATCTACAGCAGAAAACTGACGAGGCTTCACACAGCTGAAATGCAGGTTGATACTGCAGTTGGCACTTTTTTGGGAATCGTTGTGGTGACAGTTTACATGTTGTTTTGCTGCAAGACATTTGACACCTGTCGCAACTAAGAAAGGAGAAACAGCTTCTTTTGTTGTGCAACAGGAAAACTCCTCCTGTTCTCTAATGAAAGAGCTCTGTTTCAATCACTTCTTTTTCACTTTACTAATTGAACTCTTTGTTGTATTTGATATGTCATCACTGGGCTACTGTAGCCTCCCAGTTAAACTTAACCAAATATCTGAACATTTATTATAATGTCCAGTTTTGCCAGTTAGGCCTTAGTATGATTTTTTTTTTTATCCTAATTTGATACCGTTTTATGTTTTTATTCCAGATTGTTAATTATGTAATGATTATAGAAATGTGTGGAGATGGATTTCTTTGAAGCTTTATTGTCTTTAAACTCTGTTGCACAGTACAAAGACTGGATTTATGGGTAACAAAGTTTCAAAGTATATTGTTTACGTCATGGTTGATCCAAAGTATATCTTTTAAATAATTGTTTACAATTTGTTTTGCTTTATTTGCAATGCAAGTAATCTATCTCTGCCTTTTGGCTCAGCAATACAAGTTTACACATGAAGAAAACAGTTTTTATATTTTAGACTGACTGTTTCCTTGGCTGCTTTTTCACTAATGTGTTTCTTTTTGCATTTGTTGAATAAAATTAATTTGACATATTAAAGAAAATTCCACATTGCTTGTGCTTTGTACAGTACATTTCAACATACAGTATCTATCAGTGGTGAAAATGCCATGATTTAGTGAGGTGTGCCTTTAATATCAATATAACTTCATACGTATTTCTCCTCACACCTTAAAACAAATATCTGATTACAGTCACATCACTATTCAAACATTATCAATAAAGTTATGCAGAGTTTCGCACCTGAATATAAAGCCTCCATTACAGAGTCCTCACACCGATCCGCTTTCTTTTGACCGATTCACATCAAATCTGAGGATGCTAAGTATTTTATACTTTTATAAAGGGAAATTAGGACACTTTATTTATTTTATTGGAATACTTAGTTGTAGAATTGTGGTTAAACATATTTTATATAAGAGATTCTACATCAATGAAGGATGGATATATTCAATTTAAAAGACATCATGCTGTCCCAGTTTACCTAATATTTTACGGCCAAAATGTAGATACAATTGGATCGTGTAGTTTAGCTTTAAATGAATGAAGGATTACATTCCTACTGCACTCTTGATTATATGTTTAGCAATATAGATATTGTTTGTAGTATTAGATGGGGTAAAATATTTATTGGCAAGTAAATTAAAAAGTGCTTTTTAATAATATCAATGGGGATTCTTTACACAATTCAAATGATTTTTTTAAATTAAGCTGGTGGGTGGGCTGCTAAGGTTAAGATGATTAACAAATGAAAATATTTATAAGATGAAAACATTTTCAAAAAATAAAACAAGTTATCTCAAAGACTAAATATGTCTTGTTCAAGGTTAAATGTGAATCCTTACAAATCTACAATTCTCTAATTTCCCCTCCTCGACTCCTCGACTCCTCGGTCCTCCGGTAGTGACCCGGAAATTGATTTCAGCGCGCCATGTTGAAGGATTTCTCATTACTCTAAACGCCTGCTGCTTCCCCTCCTCTCTCCTCGGTTCCCCTCCTCGACTCCTCTGCTCGCATCTCCTGTGGGCGGCACTAAGACACGAGGATGGGAGTCGAGGAGGGGAGTCGAGGAGGGGAAATTAGAGAATTGAGAAGCCTTTCATGTGTTCGTTTGTCTGCTTGGACTGGTTGTCTTGTGTCACTCTGACTGCTCCTTCGAGGAGTTAGTGCTGAAAGACCTGAACAACCCTCCAACAGGTGAGTGGACATGAAAACATTAGAGGAGACACAATTAAACAACAGTCTGGCAAAAACTGGTCTGTCTTCATTGTGTATCATCAAGCTGCTGTGTGTTTTCTTAACACCTGTGACCTGACTCGAAACTTCAAAACCACAGCTATGGATACACTATCACACATAGAGTTAGTCAAGGCCACAGATTTATCAGAGCTTGATAAGCGACTCCACAGATCCTCTGAATGTGGTCTTATTTATTTACAGGGTGTGTGGATAAGGATGGAAAGCAGCATGATTTTGGCACTGAATGGACCAAAGACTGCATTGACTGCTCTTGTACGGGCCAGGGCATGAGCTGCTGTAGCAAGTAAGATTATTTAAAATGTTTTGTCTCTTTTATTTTCAAGCAATGCTCTCTTAGAAGCGGTAGCGAATGAGGCTATACCTTACGTCCTTCATGTGTTATAATCCAAAAAGCCCCTATCACCCTTGTGAACCTGTCCTTCCCCACTCTCCATCCCCTGGTAGAGACGATACTGGAGCAGAGGGGTTGTTTAGTTAAGAATGTGAGTCCAGTCTCCCTGAATCTTTGATGTTTTTTCTGTCTGAGTTTTGAGCAATTTACAACACGTCCATGTTTCTCTGTTGCCGGCAGGACCCTGGGGAGCTCTTTATCCCAGCGTATCATTAAAAGTATTCCTGCTGCGTTGTTTCTTTTGTTTCTATGACAAGAATAATGACAACAATACTCTAACCAACATTCTTTGACAGACTTGCCTTGCTTTTTAGGCCTGTTAAAAAGATACAAATTGCCTATTGCCAGTGGCTCATCTCTTGCAAAGGAAGTCTGAAATAAAATATACATTTGAAGTTACAAATAAAAACACGACCCCCTGCTCTACACAAAAGAAAAGACACCCCTCCTTTTAGCGAGTAGAAACATTACAACTCCCTCCCTCTTTTCTGTCTGTTTGGATTTCATTTTCATCTAAAAGGAATGTTTCTTTTTTTCTCAGGATCCCTGACGCAGACACAATTGATATTCCTGCAGAATGTGAGCTGGTGGTAAATAAGGAGGCCTGCACCGCCGAGATTGTGATGAAGTCAGACCCGACAAAGGAATGTAACCTCGTCTAAACGCACCAACAAGTTGTTAAATGTTTCATATTTTATCAACTATTGTATGCTGTGTACATCGAGTAAATAACCAATAAAAACAGATGAATCAAACGTTGTCTTCCTTTTCTTGTTTTAAGTTGTCATTGACAAAAACATTGACAAAAGGTTTTAAACAAATATCCGTTTAATTAAAATCCAAACATTATGTATGGGGTTCTGGAAGCAAACTATGAACAGATAATAAATATAACTATTAAACTGTGTAAAGAATTTATATTTAAAGCTCAATCAATAATTAATCTGAACTTTATCTTATTGTGAGTTGTCAGGTCATTATACTGCTATATATTTATTTGTTTGCCTGTAGCCAATAGAAACATTTCTAATCAGAATCAGAAACAGGTATTTAAACAATAAACAATTAAACCATTTTAAGAAAACTACATTAACATTCAAATATAGCAATATTTACATTGAATGTGGATGGAATAAAGGTATACCCGTAAAAATTAAATATAATAAAACAAAATATGTGCAGTTACAATGTGCAATGTGCAGAATTCAATTGTGAAAACAAAACATTTAAATAATAATAATAATACATGACACTTATATAGCGCTTTTCTAAAAACTCAAAGACGCTTTGACAGAGAATAAAACAAAGAAAACGAAGAAAAATACATAAAGAGAGATAATGGCCTGATTGTACCTGCCTTCTGTATGTCTCTGTAGCAGCAGGTGTCCTTTTCAGCATGTAATTGAATGAAATCACCACTGTGTGACAGCAGAGCCCGGTGCTCTGGCCCAATCATCACAGGGATGCGCTCGCCCACCGCCTCTGACAGAAAGACGTTCTGCTGGTGGTGATGTTCAGCTCCTTCTCCAACTCTCCTCTCTGTGGACTCACAGCCGCTCAGAGCATCATCTCCTCTGACATCTCAGCATCCCAGACACACTCCACTCCAGCCAACCAACCACGTGAGTGCTTTATTTTTTACACACAATTATCAGTTTTATCAGGAAAAGTCAGTGTGATTTTCAGTTAATTAGATGTAGAACTAATGCTGTTCTGTTTCTCCAATGTCAGCTTTTTGCTTAGTGTCCTCAGATACATGAAAGTGTGCTTTTTTTCCATCTAGAATTGCAATTGTTTTTGAAGAATGCACGGAACAATATGAGAGCAACTAATTTCAAAATGGAAAAAAGAATTAAAACCATAGAAATGATACTTAATGTTTCATATACAGTGTGAATTTCCATCCCATCTCATGAGTCATAATTGTAATGATCTCTTGGGAGGTCTCACCCACAATAATCACTCCCAGCACTGAATAATCACATTATGGTTATTATCTGAGGTTGAGCCCACTACAGCGCTTCCTTTACTGCGCCTCCACATGCAAAATTGATTTTGAATTGTCCCACTGACTGGATATGTTGTGTGTTTCTGCAAAATAAATGCACAACTTCAAATTCCAGTGGGTTCTAATATTCACTGGTATTTTGCTGGAATAAAAATAACTTATTTGAGAAGTATATTGTATAACATCGATTTCAAATCAGTGACTGCATAGAGACTCATTCAGAGGTTGGGCTTTTTCTTTGATTCTATATCAAGTACATGTGCGCCATCTGTCCTCTTGTGATTTCCATTTTCACAGACGTTTATTTATAGTCTAATGAATTCGTTTCGAGCAAATCCTTTTGTCATGCCCTCCAGGATGGCTAATATACTGTACATACCCACCTTCACATTTCGGTCCAATTACCAAATAGTATTCTAAGAGGAATTGCAAGGGGAAATCCAGTCACAAAAAAGACAGCATGAATTTTGGCAGATGCAGAATAAATTAAATTGTCATGCAGTGTGACAGTTTTGAAGCTGCTGCAGAAGAATTTGAGAGAAACATTGATCACAATGCAAGTTATAAAATGAAAATACATCATTATACAGCACAACTGCTCTCAGAAAAATACTAAAGACAGAATCAAGGTGAGTCTCCTTCAAGGAAAATGAAAGCAGGTCTCAGAGAGAGATCTATTTTCTCAGAGATGGAGGGCACTTAGCTGAGGCTGAAAAGAAGAATATGACAGACAGCACAGTGACAGGTCACAGTGCTTCTCATCCTGCTTCGATTTTTTTGAAAGGGGACCATCAAAATGGCACCTCTAGTTGCTGATTTGCTCATCATTGGAGAGTGACAGGCTCATATTTCTCTAATGCGACATTCCTCCTTTTTCTCCTGCTTGTGTTCATGGTTCATATACTCTGTTACAGCTGTTTTCTACATCTGGTCACGGGTGACATTACACTTGGATGATTAAGGCTGTAGCACCCTGCCTGCAGTTCCCTCAACACACTGACAGAGTATGTTAGCAATGATGCGGTGTGAAGTGACTGATAGCTGAGTGTGTGTGTGCTGTTAATGGAAAATGACAGGCTTGTTTTTTCTCGCAATGCTGGTTTTCACAGCACATGGCAGAGGTTTCAGGAGAGGAAGCTCAAATCTAATTTCAGGATTCTGACAATGGCATGCCCTTTCATTTCAACGTACTATACAATTTATTGTGCATTCAAAAAATCGAAGACTATGCCAAAAATAAATGCATAGTAATTGAATTGTCATTAAGCTATTATGTTCAGTCTTGAAACCTGACTGAAGGGTTAATTTGTGGGAGGAGAACTGACAAGTCTGAGTTCTTAAGATGGGTAAAGAAGAGAAATAGAGAGATAAGTAAGACCAATAAGTGTAAGTGGAACTGCAGTATTGCGTGTGTCTCGAAAACGACTTCCACATGGTGTGTAACAAGTGGTTTTGTGGACAATCTTCACACTAAATTAGACTAAACAAACATTAAAGGAATGTTAGTAACTCCTTGAGGCTGTACTGTGTTTAGCGTTTTCAGAGGTTATCACCATCTTAATTTAGCATGATGCAATGCTAAATTAAGATGGTTAATCCCTCTTCAGCTAAAAGATAACGGCCTATTTTTTGCCTCCCTTTCACAATGACAGAACAGTATCCCTTCCACATGAACAAAATCTTTGAGCTATGAAAGGGATTACATTTCAAATAATAAATAAAGATGAATGTTTCTGTCTCCCTCTGTGCCTCCTGTCTCTTTGTCTCAGATGCATGTTTTAAGAGGACTCGGATGGACGGTTGGATCCTGAGGGCTGGTGACACTGAAGTCTTGGTGAGATGTCCTTGAGTGGCAATGCGAGCCATTCTTCTCCACCAGCTCTTACTCTGCCTTTCAACAGCTCCACCTCTTCACACTCCCCAGCATGGGAGGAGGGGAGAAGCACTCACGAGTCTGTACAGGAGTGGTTGGGGAATAAGACGCAGCTCCTCTCAGACCTCGCTGTTCTCGGGCATGGTGAGCAGTGCCCTATGTCTCCTGTCCTCACGGCGTGTCTGGTGGTTTGGTACAGCATGACAATGGTGCTGGGGCTTGTGGGGAACATCGGCCTCATCTGCATCATCGCCCGTCGCAGGGAGAAGGTCAATGTCACCAGCATTTTCATCTGCAACCTGTCATTCTCTGACATCCTGGTGTGTGTCTTCTGCCTCCCCTTCACTGTCATATACACACTAATGGACCATTGGGTGTTTGGCTCGCTGTTGTGCCGGCTGGTGCCGTTCATCCAGTGTGTGTCTGTGACCGTGTCTGTTCTCTCGCTGGTGTTCATCGCTCTGGAAAGACATCAGCTCATCATTAACCCCTCTGGGTGGAAACCAAGCATTCATCAGGCCTACACAGTGCTTGTTCTCATTTGGATTCTGGCCTGCTTCACCTCCTCACCTTTCCTGGCCTTTCAGCTGCTAACAAGCGAGCCGTATACTAATGTCATGCTGCCCCAGTCTCCACTCTATCACCTAGCCCCTCCTTATATCAATGCATCTACACCTCAACCTGTTTCCTTCACATACAACAACTCATCTTCACCTAAAAATGCATACAGCGCCCTCTTTTCTTATGCGCCCATTACTCCGCACATGGAGGCCTGTCTGGAGCACTGGCCTTCCCAGGAGCACAGACTTGCTTACACCACATGGCTCCTGCTGTTTCAGTACTGTGGTCCTCTATTGTTGGTCCTGCTCTGTTATGTCAAGGTTTATGTGCGCCTTCGCCACCGCAAAGACATGCTGGACCGCGCCAGGACCCCAAAGAGCCAACGCATGACAAACAGCCGACGGATCAACATCATGCTGGTCACCCTCATTACAGCCTTTGCCCTTTGCTGGCTGCCACTCACCATCTTCAACGTGGTGTCAGACTGGAACCAGGAGGCTCTGCCCATCTGCCACCACAACCTTCTATTCTCCCTCTGCCACCTGCTGGCCATGTCCTCTACCTGCATCAACCCCATCATCTACGGCTTCCTCAACTCCAACTTCCGGCAGGAGGTGAGAGAGGTGCTCCTGCACTGCCGCTGCAGCCCGCCAGAGGAAGAGTGCGAGCGTTTCCCCATGTCCACTGTGCACATGGAGGTGTCCCGTTCCTCTGTGCCTCTCACGTGCAGGAGCAACTCTCTCTTTGATATAACAACCTGAAGGATGCTGCACTAGAAGGATACAGACAGATAAACTGAATTACAGGACTTATTCCTGCTGGTTTTCCTACCTTTTATGGCATCACAATAGATTTGAGTGGTTTAAAGTGCAACATTTGTTTCAGTGGTTTGAAGTGATGTTTGCCGTACAGTGTTGATTACTCCTAATCTGCAGTAGCAGTAGGAAGTGTATTTATGTAGAAAAAAAGATCAACAGAATGTAATTTCAAATAAATCTGTTGCTGTGCCCCTAGACGTTTGAAACAAATTGTAGTTCATAGTAAAATCAAAACATTTCACCATTTTGTAATAACAAATGATCAAACGTGTGTCCTGTTGGGTGCCAATTAAACTGTGATTTTAGAGAGCGTCTGCCTCACCACGAACATTAAAAAAATACCAAATGAGGGAATATCTTGCTTTATAAAGATGTTCATCCATTCAGTAACGTTTTAGAGGATTGTGCTGCTGTTCTAGGCTTGTGGTTGACCAACAATACTTTCCTATGTGTTTTCTTTTGTAGTGCTGCTGTTGTATTTCTTACATTTTATTACTTCTTTTGTATTTATGGCATTTGTGCTCTGAAATAGGTGTGTGAGTTGCTACAGTGAAACAAAAGGTGTCATTAATGCGATTTATAGAGGTCACCTGTAATATTGTATAACATATAACACATATAGACATTTGGGTTAGATTTAATATATATAAATGCCATCAGACACTTCTAATGGATGTTACATTTTGTACCAATGAAAGATGTTTATAGAGGTGCACTACATTCTCAAATATCTTCAAAGTATAAAGATTACATATTGTGTATCTAATACAAATGCTTGCTTAGAACTGTGTTTAAGTGAGACTGATGATGATATAGTCATGTGTGCCTGGTTTAATAATCAAATTACTACCATATGCTGTATATTGGTATACCTCAAATGCCTTATTCTTTGTGTTAAATATTTTAAATAATGTAACAATAATTTGTATTTTATTTAGCTCATGAATGCACTTAAACAATTTACACTTCTATTAATTTGTGTGTGTGTGTGTGTGTGTGTGTGTGTGTGTGTGTGTGTGTGTGTGTGTGTGTGTGTGTGTGTGTGTGTGTGTGTGTGTGTGTGTGGAGAAGGAGATGCTATGTGTTCCCCTAAGTGTTCTGTGCTGCTTAGCCCCGATATATTTGATTCCCTGTCTTATGTAATATAATTTGTGGAACCAAATCCAAATAAAGTATTCAAGTGTGTGTGTGTGTGTGTGTGTGTGTGTGTGTGTGTGTGTGTGTGTGTGTGTGTTCTCAAGTGCAATTCAAACTAGCACTTTTTTCCTTAATGTTAATTTTTCATTATAATTATATTGATGTCAATTGCATTGTTGTGTAAGTATCTCTGTTCAGATGGTGCAATATGTTAACTTTAAAACATGTTTAATATATTTCTTATACATTTCTAGTTTGTTGTTCTTTCACACGAACATATAACGTGTAAAACATAAGCTTTGTCCAGTTATTCCAAGGCACATTAATGACGGTTTCCTCGGTATATATGAAAATAAAGTCATTTTGACATAATTATGTGATTTTTCTTTCAAAAGAGACAAAAAAGACAGCAGTGATACTTACGTCTCCTGGTTTGAAATAGACTTCTTATTTAGGGTCCTTCTCAGGAAGCTACGATGTTCCCTCGGCCATCGCTTCCGGAATAGAAGTGACGTATGTTTCCTAGCAACCAATGATAGCCCTTGTCCCAGAAGACATTGCATCACAAACTGCACGCGCGAACTATGTACATTTTAGTTTAGTTTAGTTTGAATCTGAGCGAATTAAACTCCACTGCCGCATAAAGTAAGTTCACGGAAGTTATTACAATCACTGCTTAACATCTGTGTTCATGCCTTTATACTTCCCTTAGTCAAAAGTATGTATAATACGTATGCCAGCAAATAACGGAAGTGTTAACCCAAGTTAGCCACACCAGCGTCAATGCTAAAAATAACCAAGTATGTTAGCTCGTCAATTTAGCAACGAAACGAAGCTAAACTAACAGTAACATGTCAACACCATTAGCTCTTTATGCTAGCTAATACATGTTTTATGTAGGTTAGAAACACAGGTGTTTGATCTGAAATGTGGCCATTAAGTTGTGTACGTTACACAGTAAATAATGTAGATGTCCCTTTTGATGCTAACATTAATCGATGTATGGTTTACATAGCTCACTTTAGGTGGTTTAGCTAGCTTATTTTAACTTTACCCTTTCCATTACAGATATTAGATATACTAAAAACCACAATATGGAAGTAATGGGTTTTTAAAATGCGGACAAAGGTCGGCAGACATAATGGACCCCCACAGAAAAGCAAACGTGTTTATCGGCAGGTCTTCATACACACCAAACTTCCAGTTTCCTGTGCTGTTGTATTCGTTTAAAGTGTTGCGGCACAGCTTTAGATCAAATACCTGTATCTTCACTGGTTAGAAGTAGTCAACAAGTAGTTGGTAGATTTACAGAAATATCTTGTGTAATAAACCTGCAATGTGCAATACAAACACTTTTTTTGTTGCAATTCTACTGGGCAATAATCATCCTACTCATTTTTAGCCATGTAAAAAAAAAAAGACAAAGACGTCTCTTATTCTGTTAAAAATATATTTTGTAGAATGACTAAAAGGAAAATAATCCCTAGTAGCAGCCCCGATCTCAACATTGATTGACTCGCATTTGTGTTGTCGCCTATGATTAGTTTAGTTTAGCATGATGCCAGCAATTGATTTCATGTTTTGTGCTGAAAATGTGGTGCAGTGAACCACATTTCTGTGGATTGTAAAGGCTGATATTTAAACTAAAAGAATATCATAATTTTCTGTATTGGTTTTGTGTAGGTGAATCTAAAGGCACCAGTAATGACCACAGGCAATGACTCATCAGTTCTTAAAGGTATTGTACACTGTCTTTGTTTTACTACAGTTAATTCAAGCCAAAATGTACGAGTTATTGTGTGAATCTATAACTCTGTTCAATGTGTCTGCAGATGTTGTTGCCTATGTTGATGTTTGGTCATCAGACAAAACCGCAAACTATTCCAAACCATTTGTTCAGCAGCTGCAGGAAATGGGAGCTCAGGTGAGACAGCATGACACATAAACACATTGCACTTTATTGATACCAATGACCTAATAACACACATAATATAAATGCCTTTTCTTTTACAGGTACCAAAAACATTAAATAAACAAGTCACACATGTAGTCTTCAACAACGGCCACCCGGCTACATGGAGAAATGCAAAGAAAAGTGATGTGAGGCTCGTCTCTGTTCTCTGGGTCGGCAGGTAAGAATAACACTGAGAGTTGTGTATTTCTTTTTTATTTCAACAAATCTTAAATACATTTTGTTTTATTGTCATGAAGTATTACAAAAGTTTATTTTATTTTATTCATGTCTTGAATCTGTTAAAAAAAAAAATCTGTTTTATTGTGTTGCACTGTTGGAGGAGCCTGTGACCTAAGATTTTCATCGTCATAACTACACTAGCTATGCACGTATGACCAATAAAAGCCTTGAAACCTTGATGGCCTATTTTTTGTGTTTTTATCCCAGATGTTACGATGACGGTGTGCGTGCGGATGAGACGTTGTATCCAGCCTTTAATGATGAAAGCAATCCCGTGTTGAAGAACAAGAGAGTGAGCAGATTCAGATTTACATGAGATCTTTTTGCTGGACCACTGTTGTCAAGTTGTGCAGATTTGACTGATTTTATTTTTCATACACAATACAAAAGTTACTGTTTGCCTTTATTCTGTTCCACCTCTTTTTACACTTCACATAACTTACCCATAATAAAGAATCCAATCCAATTATATAATAATAACTAGGTTTACATTACATACAGTTGCTAATTCTCCTTTTTTGCATAAAATAAGCTTGTGTTATTGAATGAATCAAATTGAAGCCCCTATTTTGTCTCCTTTCAACTAATGAAACCTGTTGTGTCAAACATTCCAAAGTAAAGTCAGAACATGGCCTTTTAATTTAAAGTGATTTTGACCTTAAAAGTATTTAAATGTGCATTTATTTACTCAAAACCTCTTTTGTGTTTGATTCCCAAAGCATCGTTGCATGCAGCCAAAAGATTCTCCAGAGAGGACACCCGAGAACGACACACGCATGAAGAAAAAATTAGACAAGTTGATGAAAAATATTGCTCCAAGACAACCTCTGGGTAAGAGATTACACACTTAAAGAAACTATAAGAAGCAAAATGAAAAACTTCATCCTTTGTTTTGTATTTACCCACAGAAATAGATTGTTCGCCCATAATAATTGATCACGAGAATGGAATAGTCTATAGCCCTGCACTGAAAAGATCTGACTATATGGCACAGCGTTTGAAAGACATGAAAGAGAAACGGGAAAACATCTCACCCACAGGTATGTGCAGCAACAGTTTTTCAATGCAAATTAAATGTGAGTACCTTTGAAACAACAGAAATTCACATGTTCACTGTCTTTCAGCTTCACAAACTGTTGAATCCTGCCCACCATCTGAGCTGAAGCCGTCTCTTGGAAGCACACCAACCGTCTTCAAATTCACGTGTAAGAACATTTACTGTTACTGTTCACTGTTACTGTTTACATTTTTTCCAAACCCCAAGATTAATTTCTAAATTTCTAAGCTTCTAAAATAAGGAGGTGAATGTTCAAAAACGTTTAAACATAGTACGACAGCCCTAAGTGTCCTTGACCCCTTTGTCTCTTTATCTTTGAATACGAGCAGCTCTTTATATGCCTCTTGGTAATTATGTCTCTTCACAATTTGTAAAGTGAAGAACAATGTGAAGTTGGAGCAGCGTGTGGTTGGGTTATATTATGGGGGTCATTGAGGGCCTTTTTGAAAATCCTGATAAACACCCAAAAATGACGATCAGAGAGTGGCTTAATGATGCACAAAACCTCTAGTTATTTATGTTTTTTTCTATTAGGTGACCTGTCTGATGATGAGCCTGCTTACTCGCCTGATAAGGAAGAAGGGAGAACACGCATAGAGGTTACTGACCATGACCATCTTGAACAACGCCAACGCCATCATGTGCTGAAGCGGATTATAAGTCCTGTGAAATGTCCTGACTTCGAGGACAAAAAAGGGACTAGCCAAAAAAAGCCAACAGAGAAATACAAACCGGGAGTGAAATCTGCTGACAGCAAGAACTCTCATAAAGAAACAAGGCCATCAGAGATTAAACCACCTAGTCCTTCACCTAACAAATCTGAAAAGGGAAAGCAAAATGTCAAATCATCCAAATCTTTTACAGAGACTAAAACCCCCTTATGTTCTGATGCTCCAATCTCTTCTAGTTCCCTCTCCGCACCAACTAAATCAGATAATGCTGCACTTGAACTGTCAAAAGAAACTCTTACTTCGTTACAGAAAATACCCAAACGAACCAGACCGTCATTTTCTTCGTTGGTACGATCTTTCTCTCCATTCAGTGAGTCTAAAAATGTTGCCTCAGCTTCCACTGATAGAGATGATGATGATGTGTTTGAGGACTATTTCTCCTCAGCTAACCACCATCAGAGATCACAAAGCCGTGCTTTGCCTAATCTACCTGTAAAGAGAGACATTCAGCTTCCCTTTGAATTGGACTCTGTCCCAAATAAGAGAAAACAAAGACGTAGTGTAGGCCTTGGATCTGAAATGAACAGTAAAAAGAAGATGAAACTGGAAAAAAGTCTTCCGTCTGTTGCAAGCAGTAAGCCTCAAAGCCCCCCACAACAGGATGTTAAAGAGTCTCTGCCTGCATTGGAGGGTCCAAGTTGTGATGTAAAACTATTGGCTAAAAAACGAAGACAAAGCACCTTGCCTTTTACAAGCAGCAACACAACGACAAGGGATGCAGGGAAACAGAGAAGAGCAGCTTTATTTGTACAACCAACAACCTCAACAGATGCTCACACAATACCAGCGCTGCAGAAAGACTCTGAGGTCAATGCCCTTCCTCATACCTTGGAAAGTGAGTAGTAAGGCTAGAACACAAGAACACTTTTTTTTTATCTTCATTATTATGAACTGAATAAAGTGCATTTTTATAATGGTGTTTGAACTTTCACAAGGGTGCAGGTTTGTACATTTTGTCTGTAATCCCTGGGTCATGTATGTGATTTTTAAAGGTTTGCTACATAATAACTTAAGGTCTCATGTCATGCTTTTCCGGTTATTACCCGTCCCCTTGTGTGTTATTTAGCTTTTTCTGCATGTAAACGGTGTGCAGAGTCACAAACCCTCAAAGTACACCCTGTAGCGAGTAAAACTCTAACACAGAAAATACCTGTCTATGCTGCACCAGAAAAGCCTTGTTGGAGATTTCTCTTTTTCCATTGTTTACTTCTTGGGTATAGTGACGTAACGGCTCCACGTTTGGACCAATCCGCGCACTTCCTCACACACACACACACTCGGCGGGACGTTGCGAGGCTCGCTGCTGCGAGGAGCGGGACAGTGTGAGCTGGCTCACTGTTGTGGGGACAGCGAGACACCGTGGAACTCAGCCCGGGCACACACACAAACTCCCAGCCAGGCTGCGGGTGTGTGTGTTTGGGGCTGGGTTTCGCTGTGTCGCAGACGGCCACTGGGCTCACAGGGAGGGGGGGGCAGGAGCTCCAACAAGCTGTTTAGGACAGAGAGTGAATACACATACTATACAGAGATGCTGTATGAGAAACTGAAGTTACCTACTGTAACTCCAGCTTCTATGAGTATAGGCGTAGCCCTCTAAGGCTATCGCTATTGGGTAATCCCCTGCGCATCCGCGCAGCACTGAAACACTTGTAGTCCACGCCCACCTGCGAGGTGGGCACCACCCTCGGGCTCACTTCCGGTATAAATAGGAAGGAGGCCCTTCTCCCACACAAACAACTTTTCTTCAGCTATTCGTGGAGCCAGTTGGGCCCAGAACTTAGAGGGCTACGCCAATACTCATAGAAGCTGGAGTTACAGTAGGTAACTTCAGTTCTATTTCGTATATGGCTTCGCCCTCTAAGGCTATCGCTATTGGGTTAAGGGCGAAGCAAGATGTAGTCTGCGCCCCACTGGGTCCGCCCGGTACTAGAAGCACAGACACACTAGGGGTTTCACAACTACCAATATTTACTAGTCGACACATTTTTCAAAATAGCAGTCGACTAGTCATAAAGACACACAAAGAGAGGTGTAAAACTGTATTTTATATTGGAACTCATACAGTTACATTAAACACTGCATTTTAATGTGTGTTACATGGCTGAGTAAATAACAAACAGTAACTGGACTTAGTAAATAACAAACAGTAACTGGACTCACCAAAATCTACAGCAACAAACTCTGTTTACATAAATGCCACGTAAATCCAGTGCGCAACAGCGCATTGCGCAACACTTTAATCGCTGTCCTCCACGATAACGTCCACCTTTCCAGATTTTTGGTTTGCGTTGGGGAACACCAACGCATCGACATGTGAGGGAAGAGGGCATTGGCAATCCTCGCTTTCACAGTGTTGTACTGAAGCATGATGTTGCTCCAAAGTGTAGCATGTGACGGGATCTTATAGCCTGGCTCGAAAAACTTCATAATGTCCCTGAAGCCTTCTCCGGAAAGGGCAGAAAGTGGTAGAACATCCTTGACGACAAAGTTGATCGGCTGTCTTCTTTTGTCCCTAACGGAGCGCTTGGAAAAATCAATAATGCTCGTCTGCCTCTGTCCAGTGCTGACGCCGGTGCTAGTGCATTACTGCTAGTGCTAGCTGTCGGCAGCGGGTGTTTCATTTTCAGATGGTTGCGCATAGCAGATGTATTTTTGTTGTACTTCAGTACAGCTGTACACAACTGACACTTCACTGTGGAGTTGGTTACATCTTCGTTGAAGTACTGCCATACATATGAATGTCGGACGTGTTTGGGAGCATTTTGCAGCACCTCGTTTACCTCCATTTTGTTCACGACTAGTTGACTAGGGTCTACAGCGCCGACTAGTGGTAAAGGTAGTCGACTAGTCGACTAGTCGGTGAAACCCCTAAGACGCACCTGCTCAGATAATAACCCATGCCTATTGCGCCATGCGAATGGCGCATCACAGTCCCTGGAATATAGCATAACATGAATATTTTCCATGAGGGGACGAAGGCTGGGAACAATACAACCCTGCCGCTGTGAAAAAGTAGAGACGAAGGTCACACTTTGCCCAGGCTGCCCAGCGACAAAAAAAGGGGTAACAAGGGCAGCTCTCTGCGTGCAGACAGGCAGGAGAGCGCACAGCTGGATCCCTGACATCACTCACTCTGACAAGACAGCAGAGCGATGTTGTTCGCCGCTGCAGACGCCTGGAAGGCACACTGATGCCTCCGGTCAGTCTGGCGGACGACAACCTGGTCCCCGGGGGAGGAAAGCAAGGGACGCCGTGCAGCGACCGTGCTGGCCTGCTTCACCCCGAACAATGCCGTCAGGGGACGTATGAGGACACCGGAGCCTTCAGGCTCCTAGGGGCCGCCGCTCCCTCCTGGCACTTCTGGATGGCCGGGAAGCACGGCCAGACCGGGTCACTCCTGACGGTCTGTACCCGGGAGAAACACTCCTGCCACCGGCAAGAGAGCCGGGGGAACGAGGAGACCTCTCCAGGCGGCTGCCTTTTCAATGATCTCCGGCAGTTCCTGCAGGATCCCGCCTATCGACGGCAGAGTCGTGATGGAGGAAAGAGGGACCGCGGGTCCCGCAGCCGGGCCAGGCCGGCACCGGGCTCCATCTCTGTCTCCTGCGTCCGGGGGAGAAACGGGATGGGGAAACCACACGGTGATCCATGGATGGAGGCGGGTAGGAGTCCTCCGACTCCTGCCCAGCACTCGGATCCAGGAACTCAAGGGCTGGTCCACGGAGTAGGACTCCTGGACTGGCCAATCATCCTCCTCGGCCGCAGTAGCGAGAGCGTCCGCAGGGGATTACCCAATAGCGATAGCCTTAGAGGGCGAAGCCATATACGAAATAGAACCAATAGAACCAATAGGCAGTACACACCGCAGTACTTTTCCCACTTTAGTTCCGATATAGTTCCGAAATGTCGTGTTCACACCAAAAAGAGCCGGAACTAAAATTTGTTCATGAGAACCTTTTTACCCCCTTTTCCGTCCCTGCTAGAGAGCAGGTACTTTCGTGGGAGAAAAAGGTTCCTATGTCTGATTGGCTGGGCGGATTGCAAACCACGTCCCGTAAAACTCCCAAAAAGTTTTGTGAAGCCGCCGGTGCGAAAGCGCCTAATGTGAGTTTGGAAAATGTATTTTAGTATACCTCAACAATGGAATTATGATCAGTAGAAATGGCCATGACATGGGACCTTTAAGGGAATAATGATTCATCCTATTCAGTTTTCTAAAGGGTGAATAATTATATGTGGGTGCCGTAAGAAGAATAAAGATATACCTCTAATGTGAATAAATGAGGTCTTTTCATATACTCTGTGTTTGTCTTTTAAAGACCACATTTAAAATGTAGATGTTTGTTGTGATGTGAAACAATTGTAGAGAAAAAATGAAAAAGTTATAGGATATCTAATAATGACTGGAAAATGTGTGTATCTTTTACATATGAAACATTAAAGTATTGCAATTTGAATGTTAGTTACATGGATTCTTTAAAACATTGATTGACTTGAATCCTTTTGTCCCCATTGAAGTGATTATACTTTTCAATGTTACTGGTTTTTAGCTGGGTGTAAATGGTAATTTGGGAGATTAACACACAGGAACACATTTCAGTGCCTCCTGTGTGATAGCTTGAGTGACACCCCCCCCCCCCCCCCCCCCCCCCCCCCCCCCCCCCCCCCCCCCCCCCCCCCCCCCCCCCCCCCGTTTTGAATTGTTTGTTTTGTTTTCAGACGCAGGTAGAGGAAATGAACGTACAGTTGCAGCTGTCTTAACAAAGATCCCCCCCCGAAGACAAAGAAGAGACTCACAATGAGCAAGTCAGCTTAAGTGTCCAAAACATGGTTAACAACACAAAGGTAAGAAATCATTGTTCTAAATGTTAAATTATGATAAACTTTTTGCACTGATGTTATTTATGGTATAGTTGGTGATGCAAAAACAGGATGTTCTGGGTATGAATTAGCAGTGGGAAAATCACTTTTTAAGGTTCAGCTTAATTTCATATCATATTTGCTCATTTATATTCTTTGTTGTGCTTTACAACTAGCTAGATTCCATGTAGTTCACTTTGACCTAAATGCATTTACTCAGCCTTCTTAATGCTTCATTTACATGAGCTTTTATTTTACTTTATTTATCTTCCAAATCTATTGCATCTATGGCTGCAGAATATGACCTGACGTTAATACAGGCAGTTCAGGAAGAAAACGAGACATCAGTAGTGTGTGTGTGTTTCTTTCCCTTTAAAGTATTTCCTCCATAAGGTCATACACTTCCATAGCCGTAGGCGTTTGACGCTTCCAGTCAAGAGGTTGTGTCTGGTCCTCAGGGTTTCCTGTGTTTGCCTCTCTGATGCTAGCGTACCACTTCCTCGCTTGTGAAATGCACCTGGGCTCTGTTTTTGTTACGCTGCTAACCTCAACAAGCTGGGGCTGAAAAAGCCAAACATGACGTCATCTCTCCCGGGGATCTGTTACGGTTGACTTTATTGTAGCTTGATTACAGAGATGGTTTTTCTCTTGCTTTTGTAATGATCTTGATAAAAGATTTATCATACTCAAAGAATGGTTGAGAAAACAAACAGACGTGCAATCACCGCTAAATGCACTTTAATACAGGGGTATCTCCTATTGCACTTTATGTAGCTTTTATATCTTCTCTTGCACTTTATATGTCGTTGCTGCTATATTGTACTGCCATGTGGTAAATACTTGTATATGCTGCTCTTGCTCTTTTGCACTCTTTGCATATCATGTATTTTGTTTCTGCTATGTTTGTAAAATGTTAAATGTTTTATGTGAGGTACTGCGGATGGAAATTAGCTCAAAGCTAAATCTGGCACTTTTACGCTTGACACATTTTTTATGTTTTAAGTGTTCATCACTGTGCATTGTCCCTGCCAAATAAACGATTAAATAAAAAATAAATGTTAGGATGTGAGGCAGTATAGCTGAACACTTTCAGCCATGACAGGTTCTCTGAGGTGACGCCTGCCTGACTCACCAATCTTTGATGTGAAGATGGTCAGCAATGATACATTTTGTGGACGAAGTTCCAGACAAAAACAACCTGTTTGGCAAAAGAAATTAACAAATAATAGAAGATTAAAGCAACGTTTTGTTATTTGATAAAGTCAATCAAATTAAAAAAGCATTTAACAGAGTTAATCTATTTCAGCTGAAAGGACAGAGTCTTGCACCAAAAGTTCGTACAAGATCTGACAAATAACTAAATAATCTGTTCTAAAGAAGTGAAAATTAGAGGCTAGATGTGAATTCAAACCGTGGGAAAAACCAGAGAATGAAGTTACTGTAATACTTATGATTAAATTAGATTTAATGATACATTTCTACAACACATTTCATTGCTGGACTTTGGGTTAATACACTGCAAATGTGCAATTGCTGAGACACAAAAAACATGATTGATTTTTATTTTTAGCAGCCCCTTTGTTGCATTTAATTCTCTATTACTTTGTCCTCATTCCTTGTCAGCTCTCTACTGTCAATTCTCTCCTTATGATTTCTTTAAGTATCAACTTATCCATCAATGAAAAATGTTGGTTTGTAGGTAATCAAATAGAAAGTGTTCTGGTGAGGAAGACAACATGAAAACGTTTGAATGTTGATTAAAAACCTCAGCATGTTAACTGATTGTCTTTTACTCTCCTAACTGCTAATTGTAATTGGCTATCAGACAGATTCAGTTGATTTCCATCTTTGCAGAGACCCATTATCCACATTATTTTTCGATTGTTCTAAATAGCATCATTTTCATTTAGCGCAGAGAATCAGCAATCCAGCAGGAGACCTTCTCATACAGTGAAGAATTTCCTTTATCTGAGCTGGGAGTGCTTTTAGCTGAGAGGCCGCGCTGCTGTTCACCCCAGCTCTTTGTGAGAGGCTCATTAAGGGCAGCTCAGTCTTCAATGCCTGCTTTTCGCGCGGCTGCCAGAACATGTTCACTGCAAAAGATAAGTCCCCTTTGAGGAACCTTTAGAAAAGCTGCCCATATTTTGAGTTGGTGTGAAAGACGTTAAATTGAGCAGATTTTCTTGGCACCTTTTGTCAGTGCTGTAGTGTTAGAGAAAGATTACCTTGTTGTAGATTATTAACAAATCTAAACATTTTCCCTTTGAAGAAAACTTCTGTCGGGACAACCCAGGAGTGTCAGTCACGGGGTGATGGTGACCAACTCAATCAATTCCCACCCTGCTCATAAGGGATGATATGTGTGTGTGGGACTGTTTTGGCAGGGCGGTGTGCAGCAGGCCTTAACCCCCGGCTTCCAGCTGGGGCAGCAGATATCAGAGCGTGGCAGGAAGGGGCCCGGGGGTCCCTGTTTGTAACTGCTGCTGCTCAGGTGTTTGTGTCCATGATGGCTCGCTGTATTGGGGCCAAAGTACGTGTCTGGATGCACCTCAGTCGTCGGGTTACAAATTCACAGTTCCGTTTTAGTGACTCTGAATATGTTTTTCCTCCACTCATGGCCTTGGTGTGTGATTTCCTTTTTGGTCGCTACGCAGCTACATATCCGGCAGGGTGGTTTAAAGTGCGCGCTCTGTTTGGCTTTGGAATAATGATCCTTCTATACCTGTCATGTGCTGTATCATTCAACAAACAAGCTCACCATACTATAGTTCACATATTTCACTCCTGTTTTCTTTTATCTGCTTCTACAAACACAAGCCAAGAAACAAATCAAGCCAAATCTCTGCTCTATATCTATAGCTCCACTTATACCTCATAGTTTGCCAAATATGAGGATATTGGAACTCAACGCAATATTTGTTTCCTTCCACTATGAGCCTTAGATCTACTACAAAACGGAAATAGGAATAAACGCATTAAACAAAGAACATTTGATCTCCATGAACATATTGTGAAATGGTTTGATTTGTCTTCATAATGATTTAGTCCATAATGATTCAGTTAAAAAATATATGTGGTTTAGAAAATGTTTTATTCCTTTCATAATTTTTTTTATATTTGTTTTTGTTTCAGGCTATGAGAACTTTGGTTATGACAAGCATGTCCACTGAGTGAGTACACACATTTGTCTTAAGATAATGTAAATATCATCAGCTATCACTTTGAATGCATTGGTGAGAAATCGGGTAAATGAATACGTATTGTTTAACCATTTGTTTACTCACCTCTTGTAGGAAGCAGCAGACATTGGCTCAGGTGGTGAGTACACTCGGTGGTTTTTCAATTGTTGACCGAGTTAGTGAGAGCACCACTCATGTGGTGTCGGGGGGTCACCGGCGGACCCTCAATATTCTGTTGGGCATAGCTCGAGGCTGCTGGATCCTGTCTTTTGAATGGGTATGTAGCTTGTACGTGTTTCAAAGCCGTCACCTGATTTTTAAAAGGATGATAAAATGTAACAATATGTCTTATTTTTTTGCCTGATTAGATCCTCTGGTGTTTGGAGCAAAGGCAGTGGATTCCAGAGGAACCGTATGAACTTTCAGAACAATTTCCAGCTGCACAGGTGAGTACCAATACTAGATTTGTAGCTCTAGTTAAAGAACACAAGTTCAGCTGCAATCCTCACTTATGTTCTCCAGTAGTGCAGACAATCAAATGTTTGTTCATTGAAACAGCAGAGTTTTTAAATGTATGACACTCAATCGTTTAAAATGATCTTTCATTGACAGAAAACAAGTCATTTAGTTTATGCTCCACTCCACTCTGAATGTAACAAAATGAATATAGTCATCTCATTTTTGGCACTAGGTCTTCTATCTTCTAGGTCTTTATTGCATTTTCCACTGCCTTGTGAAACTGCCATGACATCAATCTTCTACGCCACACTGACTATGTAATTCCTTTCCTCGGCAACCAAACAGACAAATGTGTGGATAATTGTACCACATGGGCAGCTTTTGTTTTTTAAATGTCATGAATTAAAAGATGTGACTGACAGTAACTGGGGAGGTTTGGGAAGGATGTTACATTTGGATAATATAAAATAATTGTACTATGAGACATAAACCAAAACATTAGATGTTTTATTTATACATTTAACCATGAAATATAATATATTATTCAGTTTATTAATATTTTTCAATTTCTCATCATCGTTGCAACACCTCTTTTTTGAAACTCAAGAGAAAAAAGGCTCGTAAAACCGAAGCCGAGGAAGTCACACGGAAACCTGCTAATTTTTATTGCCAGTCATCCATTTTCAGTCCGCTTGTTTTTCCTGAAGCATCCTGTGTGAGCTGTGTGTCGACTCTTCCTGAACTCGTCATACATGAATCACTGTCCGCTTGTGCCACTGCAGGGGGAGACATGGGGTCTTGATGCAGACCAATGTCGACACATTTCCGCGCGAAATTGCATGATGGCTTTTGTTGTGACAGAAAAGGTATTTTTCAGGTCGCCACGGCTGTTTGTCATTCCTTCTCTTTTATTCAGTTCCTGTGCCATGTGTTGCATGGTGATGCCTTCAGATTGCTTTAATGATAGAAACTGATCTTATTCGTATTACTATTGTTCAAACAGACAATTCATACTTTGTGAATTATAATCACATCTAATGCACATCTTGTGACATAAAATGATATGCCTCTGTTTATAAATCATACATGGCCTCAGTGAATGTGCACTGACGTGTATGAGTGACATGAGGCCAATGTGTCAATGTTTCATTTAAACGTCCATAAACGTCATACTCTAACTATGCCTTTATTTCTTTACATTAGACCACTATGCATTATGGGACATTGTAAATAATTGATCAGGACTGCTTCATGGCTCTACTTGACTGTATTTAGGTATTTAATTAGCCAAAAACAAGACTTATGGCGCATTTCCACTACAGCTTGGAGCGCGGTTTAAGCGTGCCGTGCCCGGCCCGCTTTTGGTTGCGTTTCCACTTGGCGTAGTACCGGCTAGCGGGTACTATTTCACAGTTTTTCTGGCCCCATAAAATCGAAGTTCTTAGCGGGCCAACAACCAGGCTGAGTCGGGCTGAGTATGCCAAACTAGAGAGAGAATCGCTGGCAAGGGGGCTACAACTACAACAAAATGAACATATTTGACCGTGATTTAATTGTAATACACGTTTCAAAATGATGCCGAAGTAACAACATACTGATACCGGTTAGTAAAAACCATGAATTAATGCTTTGACAAGTCTGCAGTACTTGTTTAACTTTTGTCTAGTTTCTGAACAGATATGAGGAGTTGTGAGCTTGAGTGCTAACAGCTAACGGTTTTTCTGTGGTTCGCATCGAAGATGACGTCACGGCTCCGCCTACACTGCGTTACTATAGTTACTGCCCCAGCTACTAAACTGTAATGGAAACGCAGCATAAAGTGAGCCAGTCCTAACAAGGCCTAACAAGGCCTAACTATACCGTACTAAGCCGAGCGAGGCCCGGCAATGGAAATCCAAATATTCATGGGGTGGCAGGAGAAATGAGGGGTGGCATCCCCTGGCAGAAGTATATGCTGATTTAATCGCAGTCATATCAATCAATGTTAACTTGGAAAGCCACAATATTAATATTTTAACTCAATAACATAGGTGACATAATTGTGGCACATCAGTAAAGCCTTACATATAAATATATAATGTGGCAGACATAATTTAATGAATTTTAACTGAACAATAACTGAATGAGTTTGTTTCACTCTTAGACCAGCAGGGGTACCAAATCTATGCAGACTGCTGCAATAAGTACATTAATTAACTGTCTCATCGATGTTTGTCTGTATGAATATGATACTATTAACAATCATATTATTCCTATCAGCTGTCAATCACTGTTATGATTCACATATTCATTTATTATTGAATAAACTATATTTTTTGGAGGAGTTAATGATGAATGTTCCTCAAGATGCTTGCTCACCCTCCTTCAAATTTGAAAGACAAGTAATTACTATCATGTATCAAAATTCAAAAGATTCAAAGGAACAGTTCAGCGCCCCACAACTTTACTGCAAACAGTTAAAACCTTGACTTTACATCAGAAAGAACACACATTAAAGGTAGGGTAGGTAAGTTTGAGAAACCGGCTCGAGATCGCTAGAATTTGAAAATACACAACCGGAGAAAATCTGCCACTTCCTTACAGAGCCCCTCCTCCAACACACACGAACGCGCACATGACCAATGAGGGCACGAGATAAGTTTGTGCACAGATGGAAGGCTGACAGGCAGGTAGGCCATCCAGTTACTTTAGCCGGGCCGGCTAAAATGATTGGTCGTACTTTTTACAGTACTACGGCTTCCACAGATGACGTTTTTTTATGGATTTTTTGTCAAAGCACTTAAGATATTCATTGCTATCGGGATGTTAAGAGCATTCCATGGAATATAACAAAAAGTGTATCTCGAGCCGGTTTCTCGAACTTACCTACCCCACCTTTAAATAAGTGACTAACTGCATCAGTTAGGGTTAAAAAAACGTGTATTCAGCTAAAACATATACATCGCTGCAGTTATTATCCAGTAGAAAGTCCTTACCTACTGGCCTAGTTAAATCAAAGTGGTTACTTTTTTTTGGCTGGGCAGTGTAGTTTTACACACAGTCTTATTTGACTTTCTCAGGACTTAAAACTGTTTTTCAAAGAAAAAAAATATATACACACATACAAGGTCATCATCTTAACAGTTTTTTTATGCTCATCGAGTCATCTGTGAGCAGAGCATCAAGTTGGCATGCCTATTACAGCTGAATGCGGCGATTACCATGTTGTTCAGCAAAACACCTCACAAACTGATTAAGATCTAAAGCTTTAGTGCGTTTTGATTCAATGCTGAGTACAGCCAAACTTGACAGTCTCTTCTCTGTCATTGTCGACCGCAAATACCTCATTCCTTCCGTTTGCTTAGATCCGAATGGTTCTCGTTATGCGCAGTCCCGTTCAAATGAAATCGCCGCCAATCATATTATTTCCAAGCTCGCGCCAGGGCCGGGGGAGGGGTTACACGACTCGCGTCTTGTGCTGCATTCACTTGCACTCGGACATTAGAGATTTTCTCTCATAATTGTCCGATGAGCCACAACTTTTCTTTCAAAACAAAGATGCCAACTGGGGTGGCAAGGCTATTTTTTAGGGTGGCAGCTGCCACCCCATGCCACCCCGGTAGATCCGCCCCTGCGCTGATGTCATTGTTTTATCAGAGACGTGGCTAAATAAATCTATTTTGGCCTCTGACATCTCCTTAAATGGTTACAATGTATATCGTACCGACCTAATAAAGGTGGTGGCGTTGCCATTTATGTGAAGAATAAGTTTAGTGTAACTACGTTAGTTTCCAAATCAATCGGTAAGCAACTCAAATTTTTAGCCTTAAATATTGAAGTGGCAAAGGGTCAACAGGTCATGGTGGTGGGCTGTTACAGACCCCCTCAGCTGTCAAGGACTCTTTGTCTTCATTAGCAAATCTTTTATCTCAACTTGACTACAAGGAAATAGTGCTACTTTGAGATTTTAACTGGGACTGGTTAACTACAGTGTCAGAGGATTTTAAAAACCTTTGTATCTCTTTAAATGTTACTCAGATTATAGACAGTCCTACTCGCCCTAACGTTAAGTCCCCAAATAAATCCTCCTTAATTGATCTAATTTTAACTAATGTTCCCTATAAATACTCATCTGTGGGAGTATTTGCTAATGATTTGAGTGATCACTGTGTTGTAGCAACAATTAGGGACACAAAGGTCCAAAAGGGTAAACCTCGCATTATCATTAAGAGAGACACAAAACATTTTGTGGAGCAGGGTTTTGTACATGATCTGTTTAATTTCATTTAATTTCAAACCTTTATTTAACCAGATGGTCCCATTGAGATCATAGATCTCTTTTTCAAGGGAGACCTGCAGCATATAGGTTCCACATGAAACATAAAACAATAAAGGACATCATACATTATATTTACAGGATACATTTACATAGTTATAGACATTTACAAGTACCCATAGTATCAACGAGCATTTCATTTAGCCTAGCTTTAAAAATATGCAGAGGAATGAGATTGCTCAGTTTCAATTCTTGCTGAAGATTGTTCCAAGCAAGTGGAGCTGCGCACATAAAAGCTGTCTTACCTAAGACAGTCCTTGCTCTTGGCACATCTAACAATACTACATCATGCGATCTCAGACAATAGCTGCTTGCAACTCTCTGTGTTATCAGAGAGCAGATATAATACGGGAGTTTACCCAACAAAGCTTTATAAATAAACGTGTACCAATGACTGAGCCTCCGTACAGTAAATGATGGCAAACCTGCCTTGGCATACAGGGTACAGTGATGTGTAAGTGCTTTACAATTTGTGACAAATCTCAGTGCGCTGTGATAGGCGGCATCTAACTTGTTCAGGCAATGGGCAGGTGCATTCATATACAACAAGTCACCATAGTCCAGTTTGGTTTTGATTGGGGAAAAATCGATCTGTGTGATGATGTTGAAACTGCATAGTCTTATTTTTATCGTGGTTTTATGGACATTTTTGATAGACATGCACCCCTGCGT